AGACGAAGATGGCACAATCCATAAAAAAGTTTACAGAAAACCGACACACACAGGAAGATATCTTAACTACCACTCATACCATCACCCATCACAAAAGATAGCCGTAATTGATGCTCTAACTTATCGAGCACTGAAAATTTGCGATGATGAGTTTTTAGAAGAAGAACTACAAACTATAACTGAATCATTAAAACAGAACGGTTATCCAAGAAACCTAATTGAAAAAAGAATCAACAGAATGAAAACCAAATTCCAAAACCAACTCAACACAGACCAAATTCCCGAAGAAAAACCTCCTAGGATCATCCTTCCTTACATGGGACCAATCACACATCGACTAACATCCTATCTACGCAAAAAACCGAATTGTGATTTTGGGTATTTAACGGGAAAGAAAATAAAACAGATCATTTGCTCACACAAGGAAAATCCACCACCAGATAAGGTAGGAATTTACAAAATAAGATGTTCATGTCCTGCTATATACATAGGTGAGACCAGTCGCCCCCTACAGCAAAGAATTAAAGAACACATGAATGACATCAGAAAGAAAAACGTAAAATCTGCCGTAGCACTCCACATCCTTGAAAATCCAAACCACATCATTACCCAAGACTCAGCAAGTCTAATCACTCCAGAGAGAAGAAATTTTCATAGAAAATTTCTTGAAAGTTTATATATCAGAAAATGTCCCAACGCCATAAATCAGGACAACGGAAAACAACTGAATCCAATTTGGTCATCTTTAATGCTGCCACTCATCAAACACCCGTGACAACAATTATAAACAACAAATTAATGTAACTCTCATGTATGTGACATATCGTGTTTTAATTTCCAAATATTTTGTCCCTGATGATGACACGAGTTCCGTGCCGAAAGCTTGGGAAATAAATTCAATTTCTTCCTTCAACCATGTCATCCGAGAATTCTTCTTTAAACTAATAAGAATTGTCATGCTTAAATTCATTAATGTATATTATTCTTAGCATTTGAATAATTTTGCGTTTGCCTTCTGAAAATACATTTTAACTTCTACAACTTAATTTTGAGCGAACTGGTTACTCAGCGTCAACATCAGAATCACCAGATAGCTCGAGTTCATCTAAATGCATTATAACTTCCGGAACCCCACTGGGATCCTCGAATTCGTCGTCAGAATCGTCGGGTGAGTCTATTTCCTGCTCTTCTGGAATGGCTAGGATGTCGACCACTTCTTTCGGGATTTCCTCGCGCTTTTTTTTGCGAAGCCTCGAACTTAAACTCAACGTTGAAATTACTAAATGGTTTAAAAATAATTTTGAAATATCTACTTATTCTTGGGAAAATTTAGTGGGGGCGTGGTTTCAAAATTCTGTGGATATCTACTCGTAGAGCTGAGAAAAACAATATAATACATGATATTGTTTTCGTTAAAATCGATAATTTTCCTAGAGCCACACCCACTGGGGGTGTGGTGGCAAAATTTTAATCGTTCTATCGAGATCCCCTCATTGAACTGAGGAAAATGGCATATCACATGACATGGTTTCGTTAAAATGGAAAAGTCGGAGAGGGACACACCCACTGGGGGTGTGGTCTACAAACTTTAATGAATCTGTCAAGATCCCGTTGCCGAGCTGAGAAAAATGATATATCACATGACATGATTTGGTTAAGGTCGAAAAGTCGCCGAGGGCCAAACCCACTAGGGGTGTGGCATATGACCATTTGAACATTGCTGGCAGTGCCCAAGGTTTCGAGGTATTTTTTCGACCTGCAGTTCGATTTTTAGTCTTTGAAATTTAGCGGTAATCATTAATTATATTTTACAATTTGTTTGACCTTGTAGCCCTAATTTCGAGGGGGTGTGGTCGAATTTAGAAAATCTGGAAATATATATTTCGCCAATTGACCCAAGGTTTCCAAAACAGTCGCCACTTTGAAAATCGGTCAACAATTGGGAAAGTAATCCGAATTTCAACTTTCAATGTTGTTAAGCATGACAAGATCGGCCATCAAGCTTTTCAGCAAGAAATGTCTTTAATTTTGATTCCCCTACCAGAGGGTGTGGTGTTTATACCCAAAATACGTTCCTGCTACCACCTCAGTTTGCTGAGAAAGTCCAATGAGTGAGTATACTTAAAGCATACTTGAGCAAAGGCAATTCAACTTAAATTTGATTTTTTTAACTTTAATGACTAAAAGTGGGTGTGGTTGGAATAAAGCTTGATGGTCGCAGACGGTCGCAGCAGGGTATACTTAGCACACCATGAGCTATTTAATGGCATGAGTTTTGAGTCCGCAATGCGTGAAGTTTTTAGAAAATGTGTTCGCCCTATCTTCGTAATGTATTATGAAAAGTTTACCCCACGGGTACACCCGAGTGGGTGTAACATTTGGTTTTATATTTTGCATTGAGGACATGTTGGTTCTATACTACACGTTGAAATATGTGAATGGCCAATTCAAGATACCGCCTTAATGGCCACATTTTTAGGCTCCTGGCCCATTGTGCATTGGGGAGTACTATACAATGCAAATCGGGAAAGAGATACAGGTGTAGCTGTAAAATCTATACCTGGGGTTCTGAAACTGACTCAAGTCTGCGGATAAGTAGGAAAAAGTCTTCTTATCGACATGTTTCTGTAAAGAATTTCGATTTTCCACACAACTACCCTACAAACATTGCTGGAATGCAAAAATCAAGAATAAACCCGAAGACTAGCAAATGGAGTAAAGAATATCTCATTATTGGCACTCCAAATACTGAATGCAATAATATGCACACAGAAACTTGTTTATGGTGACACTATGCTTGTTACTAAATTTTCTAATTACGCTTTCATTTAATGGACCATTAAGCTGTAAATGCATGTCGTGTAGAAAAATTAAAAAAGCAGGAAGTTCTCATCCAATGCTGAGCTGAAATTTACAATGGAGTACTATTGGCAAAGGTGCAAAAATATTATGCATTGAAGCATACAAGTCTATTCATATTTACTTTATGTTTGAAATACGACTTGATTCTGCAAATTTATCTAATGTAAATATGCTTATTTGTAAATATCATTTCTTGTGATAACATTTCTTAGTATGATTTACTATGATTTACTACTATTTACTAAAACATTGCCCGTCAATTGCTGACTAAGTGCCTCTTAAAATCCTACTTCAATAGACAAGGTTCCGGGTTTTGTTAACCTGGGATGAGGGTCTGCTGATGTTGAATGAATGTTAAAAACTACAAAAAATTTTCCATCTATAAAATGTTTTACCTTGAATTCAAGTGTTTTGCCTCCAGATAAATTGATGATAGAAATGTATGGAACAAAAGTTGCATTGGCAATGGAGACGTCAATAGTTCAACCGCCAAATAAATTAAGTTTACTAGTACCTATTTCCAGCCTTCAGTTGATTTTCACTTATTTTTTGTAACTTTTTCCCCTTCCCCTTCTCTTTTTCTCCTTTCCTATTTGTTAATTTGAAAACGTATTTTATTTCGGAGCTAAAATAAAAACTCAGGATAGCAGGATAGCAGGATTAGATTAGAGACATTTAATATAGACAAATACACGAAATGGAATTGTAAAAAGCACTGTATGATGTAACTTAACATAACTTACTCTAATGCCAAAGTTTCTTGTCCTTTCTGTTAATTTTTGGGTGCGTTTTCTAGGATACTTTTCATAAGAAATGGCTTGTAGCCTTCAAGATGTGTAAATGCAACAAAATAAAATCAATTTTTATAGTGCCAATTTTCAAATATTATTAATTACTAGCGTAACAGATTGCAGTGATCCACCTGTAACCTGATCTTCGCTATTTTCCTCACCCTCACTTTCAGTTTAACTTTGGGATGGACTTGAGTGAAGGAAATGGACTCGGTTCCGCAACATCGTATTCTGATTCAGAGTCGTAAGTATTTCTGGCCAAATTTTTCCAATGGAGCTCTGGGATTTTTGGAAGGAAGAAGACAGTTGCCTTGGACGATATTGGGCAATATTGTTATGTGTTTGCGTGATCGTCGTAACCCAAACTCACAAAGTAAGAATTTGTTTTTCAGTTGCATTTTTGAAGAGGTAAAATTGGTAAAATTGACAATGACTAACGTATTTAACCTTTCACCTACTTGGCTAGTGCTGATCTATCTTCCTGAAGTGGATGTATACGAGTAGGGAATTTCATGAATGACATAAGCCTCGTCACATTGCATTTAGCTTTGAGCATGACCCAAGCGTAATAATAATGGGATTAATTGCAAATAAACTTGACAAAGTTTTCCTCAAAACAATTATGCCGCTTAATCATGAAATATCTATTGACCTAACTTTATGTATGGCAACTGTTAAAGAACTTTCACCGGCTTTTACTTACATACATTTGCATGAGCGTTTTGACGCTTGGCCTGTTCTCTTTGACATTATAAGGTGAGAAAATATTAAAGATTCGAGAAGATACAGATATTTACATATTTAATTCTAGTTTAACTACATTAACGATCAGGAGTCAAGTGAGAAGGAAAACGAGAACGATGGCGACGCCGTCGACGAATAGAACCGTGGACAAAACAATTTTACATAATATTTTTCATTTTCTTATATTGTAATCTGTTATGCACGAATCTTAAATGATACAATTGAAAATATAAATGAAATTATTTTACACACATTCTTCTACAGATGTATGGACAGGGTAAGATATTAAATATTTCTGCATGATTTACAAATCCAAAACAGGTTATGATGAAACACTACTGGGTATACTCACCGGGTATGCAATGTATGCTGGACACCGATCGATCAATAACGGGCCATTCACAACTTTTATTTTGTTGCTAGCTACATCACTGGTACAACTGGCCGTTTGACGTCCGTACTATCGACACAACTTGTAGAGAAGTGAATTTAGCCCGAAAATTAGGTCATCTGGCTAGTATTAAAATATGTATGAATTGTATACATATCATGAAAAGGCTCGATCAGTGTCATACATAGTATATCTGGTCCATCGACTCCTAGTCTGAGGGTATTTAAAATCATTTTATTTTACTCCTCAATTTAAGTGAACTCATGTTCAATAAGGTACTGATTTATATGTTTATACAATTGATTACTTAATTAATTTTATTTAATCACAAATCCTTTTCGAGCATTTTGTGCCTATTGAACTGTGTACTGCACGAAAGTTTTCCAAATTAATCAACTATCAGCCAAATGTTAGTAACACGTCTAACAAACGGGTTCCTATTCAAATTCTACCTTTTACATGCTGTTAGAAAGATCAGAAAAAGTGAAGGCAGAATATATTTATAGTTTACGATCACGTGAGAATTGAACAAGATTTGTGCTTGTGATTCTCCAGAATTTAACATAGGAATATGGAGATTGCACGTTTACATAGCATATTATCACATAAATACAATACCTCAAAAAAATTAACATAAACTACTGTACTACCAATCCGTCTAAAATTATTACCAAATCAATATATGCATGTACCTGTATTCGATTTTTAAGTGTTCATAACTACTACATTTAGACTAATTTAATTATCCATTAATTCCCAACATGCTGTCCGACATCTTCCAAATTCCTGAAAACTTTTCCTACCGCTTCCCAATATCCGATCGTTTGATACGGGAGGTCATATTTTTTCGCCAGGGCGGCCACTCTATCTCGAATGAGGTGATTATTATACTGCGGCATCTGCGGGAAGAGATGATGCTCGATCTGGAAGTTAAGATAACCCATCCACCAATCCGTCAACGGGGTGGAGGTGATGTCCACCGTGTGCTCTAAGCCGTACTCGACCCAACTTTTCCCTTCTTCGGTGACATCCAGGTGGGTGTGGTTCAGGGTAAAAGTCCCAAAAAGGTAGAACGCGACGATGAAGTAGATGACCAATGTGTTGACAAGTCCAAGAAATCCGGTGAAGATGAGATGGTGCAAACACACGAAGAAAGCTTCATCATAGGCACGCTTCAGATAAATGTAGCGAGGGTGGAGGAAACTATTTATACAAAAATTAAATGGGAAATTAATAAATTTTTGTAAACGAAATGTTGCAAAATAGTTAACCCAAAAATGGGATATCTTATGCTTAGGGCGTTATAAATAAAGCCATTTTTACATGCATTCCTTACGTAAAGATGACTTTAATTATAAAGCCTCGACTATAGTTTTACGTCTCTTGCTGCACACAACGGCAAAAAAAGTAAAATCAAAAATTTCCGACATTTTTTACTCAACAACACATCGTATATTGAAATAATGTCCACTTTTTAAATAAACTACACCTCAAATTATATCTATCTGTAAAATGGGGAAGGCTTAAATTTGAACATTTCCAACCGTTGACCTTACGCCATGACCTAAAGACCCTCTCACACTGATTTTCGAAAACTTTGAAGATCACATCTCATAATTCAAATCGGGTCAAAAGTTATCGTGAATACGGAAAGAAGTGCGGACGGACGGAAAAACAGGTCATTACCATATACGGATTTCACCCCTTCATAATCGCACATTTCATTGAAATGATTTCAAAAGTTAATTATTTATTACTCCAAATTTTACTTACAGTCTCCAAAAAAGCCCGACCAAAAAGGTATCAAATACGAGAAACAATTTCGCTTGGTTCCGAATAAAGAAATTGTTGATGGAAGATCCCTTATTCTTATAGTCTCGAAGTACTTTCTTGTTAAATGCGATGAGTGGGAGGGTTTCCAGATCAACGTCGTGCCTAATACGTTGCGGCATCGCGTGATGTCTGTTATGTTGGCTGTTCCACCAGGACGGCGAAATCCCGATGCTCAACGAGAAGGCGAGCAGGTGGATAAATTTGTCGATTTTCAAATTTCCGGTGAGTGACCGATGCCCGGCTTCATGTCCGACCCACCCGCAACGACCCACTCCTAACCCGGTGATTAACAGACCGAACCATTGTACCGCCTGGGAGGTACTACTCTTGGTCAAATAGATTCCGTAAATGATGATGACTGCCACTTCCATGCAGCGAAGGAACACCCGGAAGTAGGACGGGGCGTAGAGCCCTTCGGCTTCGAAAGCGGATTTTAACGTGGCCAATTCCTTGTTGAAGAGAGCGTCGTTTCGGGTGCGATTTTTGTCAGAAGGAGAAAGACCTTATGAAGAACAAAGTTTTAAGATGAGTGTTTGAAATTACCATGATTAGAGTTTAGGGGTCGTTCATGAATTATACAACGCGATAATTGATACGCGATTTTCTGCACACCCCCCCCAATTAACACTTGTCACATAGGGGCGATAACATTCGAGCCTTAGCCCCCCCTTCCCTCTAACGCGTTACATACTTTATGAGCTCCCCATATTTAAAAAAATAATTGGCTACAATAATAATATCTACATTTTTATGAAAATTGCGGCGTGCCAAAATGTTGTGGACGTGGGGATAAAATTCATGAGGATTTACAAAAATTTTTAGTTTTGCAGGAAATTTATTTAAACATTACGCCACCTGTGCATTCAATAAAGCGTAAAAACATGAGTCCACTTAATTCTGAATTTTTAAAAATTTAAAATTAGTCTGGTTAATATCGGACACTAAAGCCACTCATGCCTAGGGGTCGTTCAAAAATTATGTAACGCAAAAATCTCGATTTTGTAAACCCCCACCTAAGATGTGTCGAACAGGCACGATATAATTGGGCATTATACCCCTTTCGCGAAACAAAATTTATGAACGACCTCCCACGCATTGAGCGAGTGAACTCCTAATATGTTTGTGTTTAAAATATGAAAGATATTTTTTATTTGGCAACGAAGTCCTTATCTACTCACCATTTCCCACTCCTGCCTCCCGTTTTGGTAGCTGGTTCAAAAACTTTGTCGCCGTGGTGATGCACCTCCCGTGAAACTGGTCAAATGCCGCCGTGGCGTCTTCTCCTTCTTCCGTGTAGAATTTGATCACGTTTCCCCCGGGGTGACGAGGTATCCAATTGGTGACGTCGTAGTACTGCTCATTAATCAGAACTTCTTTTTTCCCTTCACATTTTGGAGGTGTTGGAATATGTGGCCCCATAGTGGTTAACTTCTGGTATATTTTTTGGAATATATAAAAATCCCGCAACAATATAAATTTATAAATATAAAATCTTACAAGAGTTAATGGATTTCCAAAACTTGCAAAAAATTCGGAAGTTTTGCAGTAATCGGATAAATCAGATAAGTCAGTACACAGTTTTTTTGTTAAATATGTAAATACGTGAGACCTTCTTTGCTACTAAAAGACAATTGTTTGCTGGTTATTTACTGAAAAAATTTCGTGCTATTTGAAGTCTGTTTCATCCTGAACATGTTTAATGAGCTGGAATATAATAAGACATGTGTCGTAAAAAACTAAGGCAATTACGTGTTCAGTACATAAGCCGAAGGTGCCACGCGTTACAAAAGTGTTACTTGTCACGAAAGCTGAAACGTTCTAATTAAATTATTTCAATTTATGAAATGAATTGGGAAAGCAGTAGCATAAAGAAATGTATGTAACACAATGCAAGGTAATGGTCTGCAAGGATAATGTGTGGGAATTAAGCTTGCGTTTCCTTTGAAGTGGGTATGAATCTGGTGCATATTAAGGTACATTCCAGTCGTGGGTACCGTATTGCATCTCAATTATTGTTTGGTCTGCGTCAACTGGAGGATTGTTATCATAATTTATTATAATGTATCTACTTACATACAACCTGGAATCAATTTGCGCAAAATTTCTGAAGTTCAGGAAGTTCAGGAAAATTAGCATGCCATTACCAAAAGATTGATATTTTCACGAAAAAAAGATGGTACTCATTTCAGGCACGAAACTTAAGTAGTTTGATAAATTATGTATGCACACTGTTAGAAATTTGGGATAGTCGGACAGGTATTAATTTCTGTATATTAAAATTTAAATGTATAAAAATTACACCGGTCTGTAAAATTTTGACATCGATATGGTAAAACTTTAATACCAAGCTTAAATTACTACGCGGTATTTACTGGGCTCGGAAGCCGTGGGAACATTAACATTGCAGGATAGGCAAGGGAGGGGTTTGCATAACATGGCCATGAATTAACCATGGCGACATTGTCCGCGTGTCCCCACGCTTCAGCGGTATTGCTGATCAATGATATTACTTTGTTGGAGTCATACACATATGAATACCACGTGGTACTATTTTAATACTGGATTTCTAAGAGTGCGGTCATCGCGATGGGTCTAACCATCATATGATGAATTGTTCTACCCGGAAAAAGTTCCATTTTTATTTTACAATGTCTAGACGTATTATATAATTTAATCAATTAACGAGAAATTAGCACTGTGCACACATCCGGCTCCCACGTACTACATACACCTATTGCGCAATAATAATCCGTAAAAATGCATGGAACTAGACGGGGATATCATTTTGATAATCTTCATCAAACAGTCCTTTCAGGTACATATAGACAGATTTCACAAACTATAAAATATGCCTGAAAATGTAATAAATGTGTTATTTGAATAATTTTGATTCAAATTTATCCTTAAACTTACTCATTAAAGGTAGATAATTACATGAAAGTTTATATATGTGTGTAAAGCCTGGTCCCGATTATAATTCTGTCAAAGTTTCCTCGTATTTGCCCAATGACTTATTAAGTAGCTTCGGCTACTTTATGCGAAGAGTTTATCTGCCCGGTTGTCTGTCGGTCTGTAAGCAGGATAATGCAGGACTAGCAATGCAAGTCTTTTACGTGTACAACTCAGATCGGGTTGGGACCAATTTTATTTTGTTCACCACAAAAAATAAGCATACCCGTATTTTTTCATTTTTCATAATGCGCTAATTTGAGCGCGTGTCGCGAATTTTAAACCATTTTTCAGCCAAAACCTTCATTTTTAAAAGTCCTGTAAATTTTCAACATTTTTCGAATTTTAGCGCGAATTCAAAAATTCGAAAACATGTCTCTTCAGAATGATTTACCTGACTTACGAAAAATCCAATTGTGTCGAAATTTGAATTTCAGAATTTTTTGCCAGTTTTTGAAATTCATTAAAATTATAAACTCTTTAAAATTTTTAATTTCTCAAAAAATAAAGCATGTGGATTTTTAATAAGTCAAGTAAGTCATTCTAAACAGAAATATTTTCGAATTTTTTGATTCGCGCAAAAATTCGAAAATTTGTGGAATTTTTAAAAACCGAGCTTTTGGCTGAAAAATGTTTTAAAATTCGCGCCCCGCGCTCAAATTAGCGCATTATGAAAAATGAAAAAACACGGGTATGCTTATTTTTTGTGGTGAACAAAATAAAATTGTTCTCAACCAGATCTGACAAGGGACACTCACGACCTGTCGTTTGAGTCCAGGGTACCCACTATGTTTTTCAGAATCTACTAGGACCCCAGATGAAGGATCCATTCATATTTCCGTGTAAAACTCATATTTGGCGCCATGGCGTGGCGCCAAACTTAAAAATTTGCATTTTCGACCAATTTCAAACCCCCATAACTTTTGAAGTTTATGTCGGATTTTTAAAATTTTATGCTTAAGATGATCAGAAAAGTCGAAATTTTAGAGAAAAAAATAAAAATAAAAAAATTTTTATTTTTGAGATATTTTTAGCATTCTTTCGACGAACCCGAAATTTCGAAATTTTGCGAAAAGTTAAAAGCGATAATTTTGGAAAAAATTTCATAGAATACGAAAGTTGAACTCCTTGTCATGATTTTTGTCAAAAATTTTGAAAATCCGTCCAGGATTTCAAAAGTTACGGCGGTTTTAAAATGAAAAACCATCAAATTTGGCGAATTTGGCGCCACGCCATGGCGCCAAATATGAGTTTTACACGGAAATATGAATGAATCCTTCATCTGGGGTCCAAGTAGATTCTAAAAAACATAATGGGTACCCTGGAGTCAAACGACAGGTCGTGAGTGTCCCTAGTGAGTTGTACACGTAAAAGACTTGCATTGTAAGGAGGAGAGGTTGTGTACTATCAACTCCCGGATCTCGATGCCCTTTGGAAATGTTGTAGTGTCCCACGAATGAACAACAACCCTGAAGTGGTTTGACTCCATGACCACATTTGCGCCCGCCACACCCACTCAAAGGTGCCCACAAATCGCTTTCACTCCAGCTTTCACTAATTCAAAACCATGCCAAAAATCCAATTTTGCTCCGATTTTCAAATTTCTTTCACCATTATACTCCCAGATAGTTGCTTTCTTATTTCCAACTTCAAACTCAACTTTTTGAAATTCTTACCCGATCAGCAAGGAAATATGAGAACTACGCAAAAACTGCGTTGCATTTAGTTGCATTGCGGAAATTTCCATAAGCTACTGAGCTTTTGCGTAATTTATTAGCAACTTACTGATATGCTAAAAATATACTGAAAAATGACGAAGAAAATGTGCATCGTATTGCATATATTAAAAACTGAGAGTAGCCTGCGAATAAATCACGCAACTTCTATGCGTGCCACCGATGAAGTAATAAATTGATGATATTGGGCACAAAAGTTGCGTAAATTATGTGCTAAAACTTTCAAAATTTTTTCGCTCAGGGAAGACGAGAAAGTTGCATAGATTCTGCGAATATTTTGCGTAATTATTTCTTCGCCGCCATTGCTTTTTTAACTCGTGGTCGATCGTATAGCATTCCTCTACCCTGTTAAGAAGGGTAGGGCTCAGACACAAAATATGTCTTCCAAGTATTCAATCGTCGAGTTAAAGCCAAACAGCAAAAATTATATTCCTGTTGACCTCGTGGCGTCCCTGTGGCTGGCTAAAGGAAAGAAGATTTGTTCCTGACCCCCTTGCTCAAGTCCAAAGTTACGAAATCTAATTAAAAGTGCTTCCGCCCCCCAAGATCCGTGGAAACAAGTTCCTTACTCAACAATTTTAGGAGGTTATGGTAAAAATTCATTCTTATCAAATATCACTGATCGGAGCTAAAATTAAATTTTATTCCCATTTAGAAATATATGGAGAAGCCATGAACAAGCTCATCTTAACAGAAGAAATTTCAAACGTGGACACAGACTCCGATACGTCGGTTATATTCCAGAGAACAACATTATTGTCCCGAGCACGTCATTATTTGAAAATTTAACTCACGTTAGCAGTAATGATGGTATACATCAGTTTCGTTATTTATAGTTTTAGTGAAATTCCCGACCATAAAAGTAATATCTGAGGTATTTATAAAGTTAGTCAATTATTTGCAATGTTAATAATAGATAGAAGCGCAATTCGTCAGAAATGTTGGTTAATTAAATCTGGCAGAGACCAAATATGTGGTTTCCTTTGCATAAATGTTCCTATGCAGTTCCTATTTAAATGCAATTCATATTTAATAAATCATTTAACGTGTTATATTCGTTTTAAAATAATCTTAATTTCTTCATACAAACTGCATAAAAGAAGCATGGAAAAGTTGCAAATAATTTGCGTGAAAATCACGGGAGAAATATCTGCAGAAATGTTAAGCAAAATGACGCAATAATTCATAGTGATTTCTGCGTCAAAACTCCCGCAAATAATGCGTTGCACTGATAATCAATTCTGCGCAACGATTACCAACAAATCTGCACAATTTCGGCGGCCATCGGTTGCAGCAGATTTGCTATATCACTTTTGCGCAAATTCAATGATATTTGCGTATCGGGTAGTATTATTAAAATTTAAAATTCTGAACAAGCATTGTGGTAGTAATCAAGAAAACAAATTATGCCTGCGAAATAATCATCAAAAAAAGTGGAAATAAGAAAGCAACTATCTGGGAGTATAATGGTGGAAGAAATTTGAAAATCGGAGTAAAATTGGATTTTTGGCATGGTTTTGAATGAGTGAAAGTTGGAGTGAAAGCGATTTTTGGGCACCTTTGGGTGGGTGTGGCGGGCGCAAATGTGGCCATGGAATCAAACCTCTTCAGGGTTCTTGTTCATTCATGGGAAACTACAACATATTCGAGATCCGGGAGTTGATAGTACACAACCTCCCCTCCTAAGTCGAGATAATCGAGATAGGTTTGTGTCATCAAACATACAAACTTTTAGGGTTAATTGGACCACGCCCTCCCTCGGCAGCACGGGGTGTGGGCGGGGCGAAATGAGATTTTTACTAAAATATAATCTATAGATGAAAAATAGTTAAATTAATCATTTCCGCACTATGGTAGGCATGGTTGGAGTGAAGTAGTGATTTTGAAGCTACTTTTGTACATGCGTTTGCTACAGAAGATTCATTAATTATGTAACAATTCCGGTGAAGCATGCAAATGAGAATGCATATGCAATCACCAGACGTCTAGTCTCTTTTGTTCCCACATATGTACATACCTACATACGTACATAAATAACACCCACCTCAACATCTTAACTTCTTACCCGGCTTGACCACCTTCCAGTTCGCACGCTAATTATTTATAAAAATGGAAAAACCTCTGATTTTTGCATTAGCAATACTTTAAAAGGACATGACGCAAAGTAAATAGGTTGTTACATAATTATTGTGTAAGACAAGTGGTTGTAGATTATCGGATATTATGAATGCATAATTTAACCGGTAATGCATTTTTACCCAAGTTTATGTACATATGTAATACCTATGACATTGCTTCACCCATGTAAGTGTATATCATCAACATATGTAATACCCAGTAACATAACATTAATTAATTTTCCCGTCGGGAAAAACCAAACGTGAAAACTACCTGGTTAAAAACCAAGAGGAAATTCGTTTATTGATGAAAATCAAAAGTTAAGTAAGCAATCAATTTATTTACGACATGAGGAAAAAGGGGTTGACATTTCCTGTCACAACGATTTTTGCATTTTCATCTCATCTTTACAAAGAAAATAAATTATAACTATGAAAATATTTGTTGCATTATTTGATGAATGTAACAATTCCTAATTTATTTTTTCGCATTTGATTACACTCTTAAAAATTATGTTACCCTTTTTGAAAAGTGAAATGCACTCTGAATTTCATTTTAAATAAGTAAACTACATATAGTAAATTTTACTCTTCACCAAGTCAACGTTAGCCTGGATTTGGTATAGTTTATTCAATTTTTTTAGAGTGCCTTTACTTTTTAGAAAGGGTTACATGTTTTTAATAGTGTGAAGTTTTTTAGATAGGGAAAATACGACTTGTACATATGTACTGACATAAATATGCGACAAGTGATTATCAAGCCATGAGTATCAAACCGATAACATTCGAGTTTATTATCAATAAATAAATAAATACAGAAATATAAATCGTCATTTGTAACAAATAAACAAATCGTCATTTGTAACAAATAAGGAAGAAATTGCAAATCTTTTAATTAGTTAGCCCTAAACTTTATTCATATTACACACTAATCGATTTCCATCTGGAACGGTCGAAAACTTTTCTTATACGGAATAATATGTGCGGGAACTTCGTAATCATCAATTTTCGCAATTGTCCTTTTAGGTCCCCCAGTGACCCATATTTTATGACTACTTCCCGCATAATATCCTGTCGATTGCGTATAAACACTGCAAGCCGCGGCCATGTAAGCATTCGCCACGGCGTCGAAATCGTCCTCGACAAAGGCGGGACTGGCAGCCATGATGTACTTCGCCTCGCGCCGGGTGACCCGTAAATATTTCAGTAACCCGGGTACTATCGGGATCAAAGCGGGCGTTACTTGCACGCCGACCGCAGTAGTTTCGTTCGTGAGGAAGTAAATTTGACCGAATCCGCTGTCCGGGTCGTAGCCGGAGGACAGGTGGGCAAAAGCGGTAAACCAGACGCGACCCACGTTATAGGTGACGCACTGCTGGGGGAGGAGCGTCTCGGTGAAGTAGTAAGTGATGAGGACAGATAAGCCGGTGCTTATCGGGATATCCGCCTCGTTGCAGAAGGTTGTTTGTGTAGCTCCCATGATCTATGACAAACACAGAATTTTATATAAATAAAAAAAATAATATTAAGTTGGGTATCTGATTATGTTTGTGCATATTAATTATGTATGTACAAAATTGCCAGTATGTATGTACATATGTTTATTTGGTAACCATGGCAACTTAGGTAATATATTTCATAATGTTTTACATCAATATTTTGAGATTAGGTTTAATCGATAACTTACTTTCAATAATTACTGCTTATACAAATTTGAAATTGCCCGAAGCTTAATTTACCGTACTCCTTTTATTTATTTTTTATAATGTGTAATTTTTTATTGAAACATGGTGTTGAAGATAAACACATAGGAATTGTATGAATCGTGTTAAATTTAAGATAGGATGTACATGCGTTACTAAATTTTAATGATTTAAATTTTAATAGATAATATTTTTTTTCATGAAGTGTGAAATGATGACGAGACAGGATTGTGTATGTATAAACATGGAACGAATTTTGTGCCGTTCATTTTTTGTCGGTCAAGTCCAGGATGAGAAAGTTTACTCTTTAAATTCGTTCGGTTACGTGTGGTGCTCATGAACAATGTTAGAAATGTAGAGAAGTAAGGCAGTTATTCATTTCTCCATATTAAACTTTGCTACCGGTTGGTATTAGAATTATACTGCTTCGTAAAAATTTTCTACCAAATTGGTATTAATGCGTAGCTGTTACTAGACAGTATTAAAATACTTGCAGTTTGCAGAGTCATAAATGAATATCGCTCTAACAAAAGATGGGTAATCTAGCTAAAATCTTAATTGCCTTGGTGGAAAGTATTGCTTACACATTTATTTGCATAACCAATACGTGGATGAATTTCAAATAATCCAGAACTGATCAAGCCAAATCACATTTACAGATGTAAATACTCATATTCCAAGATATTCATATTCATAATTCTAGTGCGTACATACATACATATAATGTAATTTAGAAATTACTTTCTCAACCTTGAAAGCACGAGCGTATGTACCTAAATACCTATGTACACTGTTAGAAATCTAGTATGGTCAGGCATGCATTGAGTTCTCGGTAGCCAAATTAAACTTACATACTACTGTTAAAATTATGTATCCCAGTCTGTAAAATTTTTTCACCGATATGGTGACATTTTAGTATTATTGCACAGAATATGTAACTTAGCAATGCCACTTTGCTGGATGCGTATATAAATACTACTAGGTATTACATATTTTGATACTGGATTTCTAAGAGTGCATGTGTCTACTTAAATAAGTATGAATTTAAAAATGATTTTATGCATTTCGAAGTAAGTACAATAAATATCGGCAAAATAGTTGTCGACATGAAAAATGAAGAAATACATATGTACATAGTATTCAAAGCCAGCAATGAATCAAATATTTATTCGACTAATCGTAAAACAATTTACGATGCCGTTATTATTATTTGGCCTGGTGTCATGAAATTGAAATTTTGATTGATTCCAATCACCCGACACGATACCATTAAACTAGCAAACTTGTCAGAATTTAATCTAGATTTTATTCCCAATATGTATGTATGTACAACTTCTAAGCAAACTTCGAAGATATATTTTAACCGCAAAATAAAATTTCAACTTGAAGTTGATACACCTACATAGTTCATACATTCATACTTGAGTATTGTCTGCGAATATTTCTTGCCGCATAAAAATGACAAGCAAGAGTCCACTATCAATAATCAATTATTGGATTCGTCGTGAATCATGTCGAGATTACAAATTATCCCTTTGCTGGGTCCGTCATTTATCAGAAAAACACCATATTTTAGGTGAACTCACGTCAATGAAAATTCCGCATTGCAACTCCCACATATACGAAATATGTACATTTAATGGTAAATTTTCAGACACAAATGACATGGATTTTCAGCAAAAAGTTTTTTTGAAATGTGACAAATTCCTCAAAATTTTAATATGTACGATCTTTTACTTTCGGATAATGTGAGCACGCCCATTACGTATCACTTGGTGACAATGTGTCTCTCGCATTGCGTAACGATTGCATTCCACCCGCTTCAACGTGAATATTCTTATCAGGCTGGCTGATAAGATCCCTCCGGTAAAAAGTAATCATGCATTCAGTTGCTACACATTAACTGAGTCAGTTATTCGGTCCAACAAATTTGTAATTTAAAATAAAAACTTTTGGATTAAATGGAGAAAAATGGTGCCGTCGACGCATTTCATCTCGTTAAAGAGGAAGATCATTCAAAAATAGTTGCGGTGTTAAAGAAAAGGTTGCCATACTCTGGGAATGTGAGTAAACCAATAGTAATCAATTACCAATGATCACTCTTAGAAATCCATTATTAATATAATCATGAGCGGATTCATACATATGTGACTCTGCCGAACTGGTATTGAAAAGTAATACCGTGTAGTAATAGCACGTATTAAATTACGTTTTACAACATTAAGTTTTACCATATCTGTAGAAATTTTTTACAGATATAATTTTCTTACCAAGGGGTTGCAAATTTAATACCGAGAAATAATGTAATTAACCTGGATTAAACTATTGTCGTAATTTGGCAGGTTTTCAACATGGCATCAACTCTGCATAAATTCACGTCTGAAATGAAATGCTTCAGTCTGGATGGGAATCTTGGAGAGGATGCAGTAATTATGATCACATTTACGAGAGAAGTAAGTATGTATGTACTTTAAAAAAATAATCATGCATTTTTTTGTAATTTGAACAAGCAAGCTTTTTTATGGAATATTATTTAATTTCCTTATTTGTGTATTCATGTAAATAATTCATTTAGAAATTAAGTTTCTGTGAGATTTTAACGCAAAGTATTTTTATTTTTGCCACCATTTTTCACATTTGAAGTTAATAAATTGAGAAGAACTCGGAGAATTTGTTAAGCTAAATATGTATGTACATAAAGTTTTGTAAGAAATAAAAGTTTCACTTTTTTAAAAATTTGCAAAATTCTAAATTCATGCTTTTCTTTTAACCTTGGATTTACTGTTTTCAAATATACTTATTTGTACCTTGTTTCCCAGGATTACGGCCAAGATATAAATATCTCGCTTCCGGAGAAGTTCGAGCCATCGGAGTACACCCGAGACGCGTTTGCATCGACTAAAACAATCGACTGGGTGGGACCACATCTTTTTGTTTGTGTCGACAGGAGGATTTCCACCCTCATTTTCGAAATTGATACGAGGAAGTTCCGAAATTCTGTGATTTTTAATCCCGCTTATTCATACTGGATTAGCAAAGAGGACGCAGAAAAGTTTGGCTCCCAGTAAGTAACAGCAACAAATTAGCAGAAATTACTGAAAGTGAATATTTATTTTTGGGTTTATACAATTCAGAATTTAGTTGGATCAACGTTTTCAAAAACTCGATCCAATCCTATCCTTTTTTGGATATTGAAAAATATCCGCTCCATTCTTTGGATTAAACATATACCTAATCCGATTGCGGGTTATCCAAAAAAATCTATCCGACTCTTTCAGTCGGACGGATTTAAGAAAAAAAAATTCCAGTTCACTACAGACGATCTTGAGACGGCAAAATCAACAATTTTATTTTTCCGGATTATTGGATAGATTTTTGCCCCTTATTAAACTTGTTTTCGCTTTTAAATTGTGTACATAAAATTTTGAAAATGTCTACTTTCCACTGGCACGGGTGTAAAAAACTCACGCCAATAATTTGAACTCTTAAAATTTTAGTTAAGCTCCAGCCTTGGAATTAGTTTATTTGAATATCTACTTCTTTATATCATAGGAGTGACGGAGATGGCGTTTCCGTAAAAAAACTGGAACGAATCCAAGGCGTAAAATTTATCCTGGAAAATTGGAAATCTTCCCGTGCCGGGACGGCCATCTATGTCAAACGGATCATCGAGAACAGCCTGTCCGCCGGCGTGTACTGTGGCGATCAATTGATGGCGGCCGCGCTCGTGTCTGGATATGGGCTTATCGGTCCGATAACAACGTCGGCACCATTCCGGCGACAAGGCTGCGCAACGAAATGTTTCAAATTCCTGTTACAAGAGATGGCCAAAGAGGGTTTGGCGCCGGTCAGCTCGTCCGCGCAGAATAATCGGAGCTATGTCCAACTCCATGAAAAATTAGGGATGACCGTGACCCACGAATCGGACTGGATTTTTCACACGGGCTCCGGTGCCGATACCCGGCTTGGTCCGACGGCGGTGCAACCCGCTAAAAAGGTTAAGCTGTCATATTGATAAGTGCATATTTTGTGTATTTATGAAGCTGTTAAAAGGAATTTGTTGTTATTTTGGTAATAAATAACTTGGTGGAAGAATATTAAATTTGTTACTACGATTAATTAGAGCATGATTTTTTGAGGATCGAGGCAATTTGAGACGAGTTAAGGTATTTTGTTCGTACAACTAACGATTTTTCTCACTTAAAATTTGAATTTTTAATACCTCGCCTTCACGGATAATGGGTTGGTCGGGGGTATAAAATATTGGCGGCGTTGAATTCGTTGTAAAGTTTTAAAACGACGCAGCGTATCATAATTAATGACAAATTTTGAATATAACCTCTCGCCAAAGCCAAGTTGAAGATCAAGGCTTGGTGCCCCTTTTTCAAGCTATTTGTTGGATGATAATTATAGGAACGGCGTTGGATTAGGTCAATGTATTCTGGAGACATTCTGCTTACAGATGGACGGACAAAAAGTTAACAATGAGCAGTTGACGCTACCTAGGATTAGCAAATACCCATCCTCGCAGATTTCAACTTTTACAGAAATTGAGAATTCTGAGAAACTACGCCACTGTTAGTCTAAAATCCCCTCAAATAATGCTGGCAGGGAACTTTGAGACTGGCAGTGCCGTAGTTCCTCAGAATTATAAATTTCTGTAAAAGTTCAAACCTGCGTGGATGGAGTGTACATATGTATGTATTGTGTTTTACGTAATTAATACACACACCTACAAATTCCATTTTATTAAATTTATTTCCTGCTCAACTAACCTAAACTAATTTTGATTTTGTTCTTCAATTCGTGTTAACCTTATGGGCTGAACAACAACGGCATTTCAGACGAAATAATGGTCCTGTCTCCATAAGGGGACATTACGACATTACGATTACGTTTTATTTAAGCATCGTATGCTCATTCGATAATTGATGACTAAATTACTTCAGATATGTAATTAACAAGCTTGATGTCAGAGGAATATACATAATTCTTTGAAATTATATAAATCTGGTTTATCCGAACTGACGCGATCAATCATTTAATGATGGTTGCCGATAATTTATATTATGAAGAATTTTAATTTCCATACAAGATAACAAATTCCTGGCGAAATTCAATGAATTTTAGTCTTATCATTAAAAATAATTATCTTGATCATCCTAACATGACATCCTACAAAAATATAGATACATAGTTACGTAACTTAATTCACTTATCAATTGCAGTTGGATATGCAGTCGAACTTATGTACAAGTGGGTCAAGTCGTAATAAAAGGGCAGATTTACCAAGAGCAGCAGTGTCAGTATCATAAATTGAGTCAATATTTAAATTAATTAAGGTTACACTTAGCCAAATTTTATTAGCTTTAAAGAAAATGCGTCTGCTCACTTTTAACGTTGCAATTTTATTTCTGCACTGCGCAAAATGGATTGAATGCCAAACTTGTGATGGAGAACCGCAGGTAAAGTAGATTAGTCTTTTTGAAATTTACAAAAATGAAAAAAAAATTCAAAATTTATAATTTTTGGGCTTCCCCAAGTATGTACATATGTAAATGTGAATGAAAAGTAAAAATAAACTTCCCACCAAGCTTAAATTGTGGTGTTTAAAAAAATTTGAATCCCACAATTGCTCCAAGCTTTCTCTATTTAAAGGTTAAGCATACTTACCTAATTTAGAAATTTTTCAAAGCAGGTGTATCACTGTTAAAATTTTGCATGCGAAAATATCTGTGTGGTTATTTTTTCTTGCTCGTAAAATAAAATTTGTTCCAGTTAAAATTGAAGTAAGTACTTAATGCATACATACGCTTGAAACATTTGAATTGTCAGATGGTAGAGTGTCCCCCGTGGGAGGAGGGTGTGCCCACTTATCACCCGTATCCTTACGACTGCCGGAAGTTCATCGAGTGCACGAATGGGGACCCGGTCGTGCAATGCTGTCCACCGGGGACGGTGTGGAATCAAGATATGCTTGTCTGCGATCACGAAGGTGTTACGCCTTGCGTCATCGTGACCACTCCTCCCCCCACGTAAGTAAATACATACTCCAATCGGAATTTACACAGTAATGACTGGGTATAATCAATACTAAGGAAATTTGAATATAAAAATATGTATAGTTCTAAGATTTACAACTGCAAGTTTAGTGTCAAACTGCGAATACATGCTTGCGTTAATACATATTTTATAATTTTATGAATCACAATATTTTACAGAGGTTCGACACATACCACGGAAGCACCCACAGCCGCATCAACCACACCAACTACGACCACGCCAACTACAACCACACCAACTACAACCACTCCCACAACTACTACGCCAACCACGACTACGCCAACCACGACTACGCCAACCACGACTACGCCAACCACGACTACGCCAACTCCAACCACTCCTACAACTACTACACCAACTACAACCACTCCCACAACTACGACGCCAACTACAACCACTCCTACAACTACTACACCAACTACAACCACTCCTACAACTACTACACCAACTACAACCACTCCCACAACTACGACGCCAACTACAACCACTCCCACAACTACCACGCCAACTACAACCACTCCCACAACTACTACGCCAACTACAACCACTCCCACAACTACTACGCCAACTACAACCACTCCCACAACTACTACGCCAACTACAACCACTCCTACAACTACAAGACCAACTACAACTACACAAGGTACCACCACCAGTACGCCTCCTCCCATCATCCCAATTCAGCCTGGAGTCTCTTACACAATAATTAACAGGTTTAACAGCAGCGTAAGCAAATCACTCCATTCAGCAAAACGCTTTAATTTTTTTATATGTTTTCGTAACACATTTACTAAAACAGTTTAATATTTGAACCATTGAATGGTTTATGCAAATAGATGGCACTCAGCGTCTACCGATCTATCTTCACCGATTTAAACAAAATACACGCAATTCCTCATGTCATCAGTTGCTCGGACTTATCGCAAGTGTTCAGGCTACAGTACATCGGTAAGTATTTATTCTAGAAGAATTCCTTACCAGTTCCCATTTCTGAAACATAATTTTGAAAAAAAATTGCGAACTAATAGATGCGCAATTCCCAAATAAATTTCCGAAGTTGGGAAAAAAAACTTGGAAAATGGAAATTTTTCCATTTTCCAAGTTTTTTCCAAACTTGGAAATTTTGTTTGGTAACAATGCGACCTCATAATAAATACCCTCTCTGTTTAAATAGCGTAAAACTATGATTGTACATGACTGTGATAATTAGATCTTTCGAAATCATTAACACTACACTCTTAGAAATCCATACTTTATATGACGTAAAATATAACTCGATATAACTTCCAAAGTGCCACTACCCCACTTATAGCGAATCGCTCTCTCTCGGCCACAAAGTAAGCCATTTTACCCTGTAACAATATTCACAGGGTAACTGAGCGCCCAATAGGGTAACGACCGTAACCCTAAATCGCGTTGATTATGACTTTACTTTCTTGCTTTGATGACCCCAGGAAAAGTTACTTAAGCGTAGTCGCAGTATTTAGTACTTTAATAATATATTTTATTTCATATTCAACATTGCATTACAAATTACCCTTATTATCAGGCTTCGGAAAAACCCAGGGTTTTAATCAAAAAGTAACGACCCAGGGGTTTTAATGGGTTTTAATGGGTTTTTTGGGTTTTAATGGGTTTTATGGGTTTTATTGGGTTTTATTAGGTTTTACATAAGTAATACATTGAACAACAATTTTCACTACTATTGCAAATCCAATTTCAATTAATATGCAAATCCTACTTGTCCATGTTAAAATTTGTATCCGTTTCGAAATAGTCCTGTTTAACTGATCATAGTTTAATACTTTATGAGAGTATATATTACCTTTTTCTCGAATACTTCCTCTCATCATAATGAAATCCAAGTTGTTTAAAAGTTTTTAAACTTTAAAATTTCAATGCGATCTTAACGTGTATTATAAAATTCTGGAAAAAATCGAGTACTTATGAGCAATGAAAGTACGTATGTATTATGATCGAGAATATAATAAGTGCTTTTTACAGACACACTTCTTTTGCTCATAATAAAGTACTTCGCTGTCCATAAGTACTGGATTTTTCCAGAGGTGATAATTAAGATCGTCTTGAAACATTTTAAAAAACTATATAAATTAAAAAATACTACAGTATTTTGTTTAATTTATTCGCTGAGATGAGAGGAAGTATTCGGGAAAAAAGTATTAATTATGACAGCAAAATGTAAATTAAATGTAATTAAATTATGTATGCTCAGTTAAACATACCTCGTTCCGAAATTATTATTTTTAAATATTTTTGTCACTTGAAACTTGTAATGGCACTCGCTGATTTATTCCTGGTTTTTAAAACTTACAGTATTAATCAAATAAACTGCTTAGCTGCCATGAAACAACTTCGTCTAACGTACGACAGCTGTTTTCAGCTTTTAGAATATAGTTTTAAGCTGAAACACAGTTAAAACCCATTAAAACCCGAATAAAACCCATTAAAACCCTAATAAAACCCATTTAACATGGTAAAACCCAATGGGTTTTATTCGTTAACAACCCATTAAAACCCATTAAAACCCAAAAAACCCAACCCAATAAAACCCTGGGTCGGAATACCCTGCTTATTATGAACCACTAGTGAGGATGTTTGTAAACGCTGGACCCTGTTAACTTAAGATAATTTTTTTAATGTTATACTAAAGTTTTAATATTAGTTTTGCACTTAAAACAAAGATATACCAGCTAAGTTCTCACAAATTGTACAATGCATTCCAAAGGCGACCTAAAATGACGTAGAAAACCTGACAATTTTCTCCTGAAATTATTAACAGAGTCTCGTCCGTAATATCGTCATCTGTTTAAATACAATTAAAATAAAAATTAAACGCAATGTAAATTAAATTTATGTATAAATTATGTAAATTATGCGAATTTCTTACCCTTCAGCGTCCCCGTCCAAATTGTTGCAATAACCCCCTCGTTTCCTCCATTATTTGCTTATGAGTTAACTAACTAATTAATTAATTATCAACTTAACTATCAGCACTGACTGGCTGAGCTGCGAGTTGTAATGAGAGCGAGGGAAAAGTCAGCGTCTGGTTTGACCAAGAATATTCTAAATGGGGTTTGCTTACTCTAAATGGTATAATAGCTTACTTTGTGGATTAGAAAATAGTGGTTTTACTCCACATTTGGTGACTTTTGTGATTACTTTGAATGAAGTTGACCATTTTACTTCGAATCAAGTGAGGTTTACTTTAAAGCGCATAACGTTCCATTTTACTTCATGAAAAGATATTGCATTTTCTAAGAGTGTAATCATCTAAATTTTTGAATAATCATTCCGAAACAAAATTTTGGCTAGAAACAATATTTCTTTTCTAGCGTCAACCCAAACTTATTTGATCCGCTCTGCACTTGGGACCGGAAGTCAACAATGGACTTGGAATATTCACCTCAGTCCAACCAACAATCCTCGCGTATTTATTCATGTATGTATGACAATTAGGGAAAGTTGATTATTTCAAAAGTTCGTCTTGATAATGCATACATATTTTCAGTCGACTAACGACCCAGAATATCTGAATGCCGACTTTAAAATACAAATGGTTGGGTCAAGTAATTTATACACGATTGAAAACCGATACCACAGGCAAACCACTTTCAAATACACTGGGTAAGTACTGTTAAAGTACTTATGAATGCATGCAAATATGGAAGAATTTCGCACCAAAGTCCGTAACCACTAACATACATAAGTCTTCAAAAATTAGGATACGAACGAAAAACATGCCTTTAATCCTCGTAATTTTGTTAGCAAAAATTAACTTAGAAATGTTTGTAACTTTTGTCAAAAATTCGATGGTTTACGTGGTTACGGGCTTACGAAGATTGACGTGACATTTTTCAGTATTTATTAAGGATCTCAACGAATACATTTTTATCCTCGTGACCAGGGTGCCGAACGATATCGGGATAGAACTTGATACCGTAAGTCCTCCAGACGTTAGTGATCTGCCACAGTTGTGGGGTTTCGTGCGGTGTCCGTAGAGAACCCATATTTATCTTGCAATTTAATAAATGGGAGAAATACAATTTATAAATTAACACAAAATTTAATTGATGCTGAGCATAGTTAATTGCATATATACAGTATGACTCGAGAGTAAGTACATATTTGCATATACATACAACAATTACATGTAAATATACATTGAAAATGACTTGGAAGGAGTCAAGAAAAGATTACAAATCTTGGAGGTAAAATGTAACGTGCGGATATCTCACTCGCCTTAACTTACATATATGTATGTATATCTACATAGTTCACCTTCACGGAAAACCCGGTTTTTACTCTTGTCTAGACTGGCGAATAAAACTAACTATTTTCATACATAAGTCGATGCGACGGAATTCGCTTAACGTGGTTAAATTAAAAAGTCATAAAGATAGATGTGCATCGCAAAGTTGCATAACTAATACGTAATATGGATGCACATATGTATGTGCATCCATGCTAATAAAAAATGTAATGCAATATCTCGAAAAAATGTGCTTCTGACTTATGTATTTATGTATGCAATTCTGCAGATTCAGGTACTCAGGATATTTGGCAGAATGGTATTAATAACCTGCAAATTTTTGAGCTTAAATTATATAGCAGCTCTCTTAGAAATATAGTATTAGAATAATATACCATGCATAAATGACTCTACTACTGGTAAGTAACACCGTAATAGCTCAATATCAAAGTTATACCATATTTCACTAGCAAATTTTTACGGCCTGGTACAATCTCAATACGAAATGGTAGTACATTTAATACCTAGGAATCAGTATCTGTTTGACCATACCAGATTTCTAAGAGTGTGGTTTCATAGAATCCACGTGCTCGCTTAAGGTACGAATCCTTACTTTTCCAATGATTGGGTAGCCCCCTTTTAGCAAACCTGCACCCCTGAATAATTCTATGTATGTATTAAAGGAGATGCGGTTGTGTTTAAAAATACCAAACATCACGCCAGGATATTTTATCGGTGTTGAAAATACGCCTGGTTTATGTGTGATCATTAGCCAACATTGTATTTTTGTCCAAAGTACATGCATAAGGAAAAATGCTACATAACTAATGGTACGTATTGAAGCATCATGTCGATTATGTAGATTTCACTTGTCAGGTACATACATATGAATAGCCATGTGCATACCATAATTTATTCGGCAATGATTTTATTAAGGTTTAATAAATATTTAATAAAGCATTTTATTTCATAATTTAGTCTACGACAATGTTACTAATGTTACGGATTAAATTTAATTAACCGCAAACAATTAGTCCCAATTGGCATTATTGAATAAAAGCTTACTTCCTATACTGGTTTTTGGTACTTTTAAGAAACATGCACTTTGTAAGTACTTCGTATGAAGATATATTTATACGTCTTTCATTGTACGTAAACATATGCTTATCCACCCCTACTACCTCGAGAAAAAAAAATCAGTCATAACACAATCAAAAATCTGGTAGGGTCAAATAAATTTATACTCCGTGTACTGGTATTGATTTGGTAATAACTTCCTACCTGATTGGTAGTAGTTTGTTTCCGAGTTGTAAATTTCTCAGTACCACACAAAATTACTAAACGGTAATGCCCGTTGTTACCAGTACCGGTATTGATTGTCATAGGCATCTGTACTCCGGTCAGTAATGATTTACGTATTTATGCTGATAGCATGGACCAGTTTAGCAAGAGTTGATACACATGCAAGTCAAATCTGTAGATCACTATGTAGTGTAAATATGGATGTGGCTTAAGCAAAGTCTGCCAACAGGTTTTTTCCATGCATGCAACTTTGTAATACTTACCACTAAATACACGTATATCATCATGAATACGTAAGTACGTACTTGCATCCTCCATGTTAATTGCATTGTATGGAAAATCTGCAGAGACTCGTCCCGAACAAGCATCCACACAAACTTCACATACAAGGATTGATCTTTACAAGGAGGATGAAAAAAAATGTAGCTGTTTTGTCTGAATGGTGTCCTACCCGTGAAGATTAAGCGAGATTATCATTCATACGTATATACGTGGGTGTTTTATTATTGATTTTCAAACGGTATGTTCCGCACTGTTTCTGACCACACTTTTCACGAAATAACATACTTCAAATACATTTAGGAGGCTGTGATTTTTTTCGGTTCCGTAGGTTAACATTAACACTAGCAGTAAATCAGTAAAATTTACCTCGAAAATACTCAAAAATTTACGATTTGATTTCATTATCACCTTAACATCTTTCCCCTTGATGTTTGTGTCCAACTTTCGAAACGAATAATAATCAGTAAGGGTCCAATCTGGACTGTACGGGAGGTGGTTTATGACGGTGAAGCGATTTTCGTCTGCAGCATCCCTCGAAACCAGCGAGGTATTTGGTGACGCGTTGTCGTGTCAAAGATGCACCCAACTCTTTTCTTTGACCCCACGTTTCTTTTCAACCGTAGCATGCAGCTCCTTCGGGCTTTCTGTATATGATGCCACATTTATCGTAGTATTTCAGGCAATAAATTTTATAGGGAGGGTACCTTAGGTTTCACAGAAAATGGTCATCTTCCATTTTTTGGTAGATTTTTGCACTTTTGAGTTCACGGGCGGCGGTGACCCCCTGTGTTTCCATTGCATAGATTATAGTTTGGTCTCATTATCACAGTAGTAAACCCAAGTATCATATCCAACTACTGAAGTATAAATCAGGTTCCAGTTTTCATCTAAAAGGTCAGAATCTTCATTACAAAAGTCGACTCGATCCAGTTTTTGGGATGGAGAGTACAATTTTGGTACCCTATGGGCGGAAACCATTTTCATACCCAAGTCTTCAGTTAACATGGAACAAATTGCTGGTTTTTGAACACCCATCTCATCAGCTAAATTGGACAGTTTCAATCGTGGATCTCTCATTATTGGTTCTCTAGTTACTGAAGGTTTCCTGTGGAGGAAACGGATTTTGAGCGTCCTGGCGATTTTTTTGTCAATGACCTCTTTTCGCCATCATTTGAAGTTATTGACCCAATTTATGTTGTGCTTTGTGCTTGACAGTTTTTATCGTAAACATTAAGCATACAATCATAAATCTGCGACACGGATTGCCCCTCCAGCATTAAAAATTAAATCACACTAGGGTATTTAATTTGCAAATATGACATTTTTTCCGTCGAGGTAAAGTTTGCTGATTTATTGCTAGTGTTTATGTTAACCCACAGAGCTGAAAAAAATCACAGCCTCTTAAATGTATTTGAAGTTTGTTATTTCATCAAAAGTTTGGTCACAAACAGTGCGGAACATATCGTTTGAAAATCAATAATAAAACACCTACGTACTTACGTACAGCCATAATCCGTGCTCTGATAGTGAGAATGAGCTAAAATATTGCTATATTTATACGTACCAGATGACAATGTACATACCCCAGTCAGTTGTTCTTTACAACAGGACTCAATTGATCACCAAAAGTTTATGTGGCTAGACATACGTAAGTGAAATCATTCATCAAATTCATACTACATACATACATACATAGTTGGACATACTATAAATACATACATACAAGTTATTTATTTCTAAAATTTTCACAACGCATTTTAATAATTTCATAAAGAAATAAAGAATCTGTGATTAATTGTATTTTCGTTGTGGTGATATTACAAAACTGTGATAAATAATTACATAATTTTCTTTCGAACCGTTGAAAATAATAAAAACTTAGTTTACTAAAATGGTGGATGGGTGACTTTAGACTTGAACAGGTAAGAATAAACTAATACTTTACTGGATAAGGAAATAATTGACCAGTTTGCAATATGCAGATTTATACATGCTTTTACATATTTGTAAGTCACCCTTCCGAACTTAAAATTCTTTGAGTTCTATTATCCTCGTTTAAGTAAGATTTTCTCATAATTTGCACATGTGCAAGCATAGTTCATACTAGATACACGAGAAAGAGGGTTTGTATCATGTTAACTAAATATACATTTTGACTTCAACTGTGAGAAAATGTTCTGAAGATATGCATCTGGGTATTTACATATTTACTACACTCTTAAAAACTGGTATTTAATCATTACTGACCGAGTAATAAGAAATGGGTTCGGTAAACTCGCATGCATGGATAAAGAACTTGGCATTATTTGAGACCTCAATTTCTAAGGGTGTAATCCTATCCAGCAAATATTGCAACCAAAGTAACTTATGTAATTGCATTTAATTATTGTTTACAGTCAGAGTTTATGAAATTTTTTTGCTTGAATGAACATATCTACGCATTGGAATTTTATTACTCAATACATACTGCGAAATGAATATGAATGTATGCTAATCACGTTGTTCTTTTTTGTCGGCTATGTGCCTACAGCAGGTGCTAGTTTCGTAATATGCTATTGGAAATTTCTTGCTGGATCAGCCAGTTACACAATTGCAGCCATGTGGAAGAGTTGTAAGCCAAATGAAGATGCTCCACCAGGTAAAAAAATATGTAATACCAAATGATGTGTACATTGTTAGAAATCTGGTATAGTGAGGCAGGTATTGATTTCTTGGTGGTAAAGTTGCTACTTGCTACCCATTGGTAGTAAAATTATACCGGTCGGTAAGAAATTGCTACCGATAAGGTAAAACTTAAATACCGCGATATTATTATTTATGTACGTGCTATTATTTACCAATACCACTTTGGTAGAGTCAATGTTATTACCACTTGGTATTATTTCAATACTGGATTTCTAGGAGTGTATCTAAAGGATTTCATATATCCAATAATGAAATACGATTTATTGGTTATGATTTATTTTCAGGTGTGGAATCTCTAAAACCGGTTAAATACCTGTTACCGACAATAAATCTGGGATTTCTGGGAAATGTGGTGGTCGCTGGGCTTAATTTTTTCAGTTTCATACTGGACTTATTTTCATGGGGTGAATCAACCCTGGCAGCGAGGAAACTCGCACTCCATAAGGAAATTAAGGTACATATTATTATGTAAAACTTACTTGGAAAAGATGTAAAATTTGAACTGATTATTGAGGGGGGGGGGGGATTTTGCCAAATTTAAAGAAATTAGCACACTTACTGGTTGAATTTTTCGTAAGTAATGCGAGCGTTTACAGAAGAGATAGGAATACATACTCAAAATTTTCAATAACCACATTTTGATATTTTTCATTTGACTACATTTTTTTAAATCGAAAAAATTTGTATTTGTATTTGTATCATTTTAGAAAAAAACAATTTCGAAAATTTTATAAAAATAAAGGTTTCACAAAATTAGGGAATTCATCATAACCAAATCTGCAATATTCAATAACACGCAATAATGAGAATCTGGTCTGTATGTTTCTTAACATACAAACTGGACTTCCACGTGTGACGAAGGTCAAGTTCAAATTTCAACCAAATTCCTTGCCGAAATTCATTTTGTGTTAATTATTATGTAAAACAAAACAATGCGAGCATTTATTACAAGTTCCATTGTTGGAAAAGTTAGAAAAAAAGTTCACAAGTTCGTGAAAATGCATTTGCAAGCGTTCACATCTACTTAGGCTATGTAGCATTTACATACATGCGTCGTATTTTTTTAAATAATGATGCGACCGGAACATGCTATGTAACTCTTAATGAAAACCCTCATTATTTTTTTAACAGGCTGACATAGTTTCGAAAACCAAAGGCTCAATCACACTACGAGGAAAAAGAGAACAAAGGGCAATTCAGAAAGAATTTGACAGTTTAAATATCACCACGATGCATCAAGTTTTTTCATTGCCGATCAGAAAAAACGGGTCGAGACACTGCCTAGGAACGAGACAAGTGTTAAGTGAAGAAGAGCACATTCAGGTAAAGGGGATATTTAACGATGCAGAAAATTTTCAGAAATTAAAAAAATGAGAAAGGGCCGTTCAGAAATTACGAAATGCAAAAATAGTGATACTCGCCCCCCTTTAACATGTGTAAAATATGCACGATATCATTGGAGCCTTAGACCCCCCTCCCCCCTGTAGCGTTACGTAATTTATGGATAGCCCTCAATGAGGGTATTCACAATTGAATATCGTAAATTAAGTAGTTTTCAAAGAAAAAACAAGGGGCCAAGCTTCTTGCAAATCGTAACCTTAGTAATTCGGTTTTGCATGACAAAATCTTGCTCCCCTTACAAAATTAAGTAACCCTCGTAACATATTTTACGATACGAAGAAGATTAAGGATAAGAAGGAATCACAAATACACTCATTTTAAAGTATTCAAAAAATTGCAGCCGGATGGAAAGTCCTTGAAAAAAGTAAACCTCGGTTCATACACTTGGCTTACTTATGCAGAAGTGGACCATATTGCAAAATCATTCTCCTTGGGATTGACGAAATTTGGCTTGGCGCCACGCGGGAAAATTTGCATATTTGCGGAAACTAGGGCAGAATGGCTTATCGCAGCGGTGGCAGCGTTCAAAAATTCGTATCAAGGTGAGAAAAAATGAACCTACTTAATTGATTGTGACACTGATTAACAAATGAGGAAAATCATACAAATATTTCTTGGCAGTGGTCACGTTGTACGCCACGTTGGGCGAGGAGGGCGTCCTCCACGCCTTGAACGAAACGGAATGCCCCGTTGTCCTCACGTCGGCGGAATTGCTGCCTAAATTCAAATCAATCTTGGAAAAGACGCCTCACATTAAGCACCTCATTTTTATGGAGCATCCAATCAAAGCGACGAATACATCGGGTTTGAGTAGCAAGGTGGAAATCCATCAATTTAAAGAGGTCGTAGAAATCGGGAAGAAGCTCGGTGGGGCAGGTATGCAAATTAATAGCTTATTTGCATAATCTCACAGTGCCCCTTAAATCTTAATATCTTTTACCTACTCTCCGTTCGCAGGTTGAGCTTTCAAAGAAATAGAGAATTCTGAGAAACTACGGTGCTGTCAGTCTCAAAGTCCCCCGTCAGCATAGTTCTAGGGAATTTGAGACTTACAGTGCCGTAGTTTCTTAGAATTATCAATTTCTCTGAAAGTTCAACTGGGTGTGAATGGAGAGTTACTGTCATCACTGGTTCAAAACATATTTACAAATTAAATTACGAACCTGTCACATTTTCATTGCGTTGTCATGTTTTATTATTTTAGAGCTCCGACCTCCTCTACCGGACGACGTTGCTATTATCATGTACACTTCCGGTTCTACAGGGACCCCGAAGGGGGTGTTGCTCTCGCATAGAAATATTGTGGCCTCCCTGTACGGAATGACGGATGCAATGGGTGACACTTCTGATCGGGGTAAAAAAACGCATTTAAACTGATTAACATATAACTTATCTGTTAGGTTGCCCCGTTTTATGAAGCCTTTGCTTTTCTCGAAATAAATATTAAGGCAATTCATATCGTTCTCGGCAACCTTGTAAAATCCGTAAAGTGACAAAGTTTTAAAAAATTGTATGCATTTCTCTTAAGGAAAATTAGCTTACTAACAATGAAGGTCTCCCAACGTATGCTCACAGATTTGGACTAAACCGCTGTCAATCGATCACAAATATAATTAGTATGAAATTTGCAAATTGAACTATCTGCCAATACGCAGGTTTGGCGGAGATATTTGCATTCAAAGCAGAAAAAATGCGCAGGAAATTTGGAAAATGAAAAATATGCCAGCCTTTTGGTACGTTTTCTCTTCTTTTTATGCAAATATCTCCGCCAAACATGTGCATTGGCAGATAGTTCAATTTGCAAATTTCATACTAATTATATTTGTGATCGATTGACACTAATTTCGTCTAAATCTGTGAGCATACGTTGGGAGACCTCCATTGTAAGTTTTGTAAACTTATTCAGATCTAGGGCGTCTATTTATTTTGTAGAAGCTTGTTACATAATACTACAAAGTTTACGAATTTTATTTACAACATTACCAAAGACTGCTTGAGTTGCCTAACTGTCTAAATATTTTTTTTCAGATACATATCTCGCCTATCTTCCATTAGCCCACGTGCTCGAATTGGTTTCTGAATCGCTCTGTTTCTTCAGCCGTGTCCCAATCGGGTACTCTTCACCGCTCACCTTGACAGATAAATCGCCCAAAATTATGGCGGGAACTACCGGCGACGCCGGGATTATCCAGCCCACTCTAATGGTCTCGGTGCCCCTTGTGCTGGACAGGATTTACAAAGTGGTTCTAGATCAAGTTAATGGCTCGAGTAAAATTAAACAGGCCGTCTTCTACTGGGCGTACGATTACAAGTTGAAGTGGTACTACAAGGGGTACTCATGCCCTAAAGTGGACGCCTTGATTATGAAGAAAACTAGGGAAATTTTGGGTGGACGGGTCCGCGTTATGGGATGTGGAGGTTGGACATAATTTATTTTTGGCTATAAGAACAGAAGCTATTGAGAATTATTGTTGTGGGTCACCTCATTTACATAAGAACAGTTTCATAAGAACTTTCCCTATTGAATGCCCTTTGTACCTTACTTCCCTCAATAATACGTGTAAATATGCAAATGAGATGCCCCACTACAACAGCTCTACTGTAGATATGCATGTGTTATATATTTGGCATTTGAGACATGGATAATATGCATGAATACAGGGGGTGGGCAAATATGAGATTATCCAGGGAGAAATTTAAACTAATATTCGACATAACACACATTTTTTGCATGATGCCAACTTTCTTGTGATAATAAATGTTCGGAAAACGTTGACTCAAAAGTTAGAGCGTATTCGTAGGATAACGATGCTCAGAGTGCAACCGTATGGACCACCTTCTGTACATATTAGATATTAATCGGAGGGTGTGTCAATCCACTATATGTACATAAATGTGCCTCCCTAAAATATTTTATTTATTAATGCCACCGTTTATTTCTAGGGGCCCAATTATCCCAGGAAACTCAAGAATTTGCCAAAATTTGTCTATGCCTTCCCTTCCTAGGGATAGGATATGGCCTAACGGAGACCTGCGGTGGGTCGGCAACTTCGATGGGTGCGTTTTAAAATTTTAACAAATTTTGCAAAAATATGATTTTAAATTTTACACAGTTGCGGATCTGTCTGTGGGCCGGATTGGTCCTCCATTCCAGTGCTGCAATATTCGCTTGATTGACTGGGACGAGGGCAATTATTCTGTTCAAGATCAGCCCTTCCCCAGGGGAGAAATTTGCATCGGGGGCCCAAATGTGGCAATGGGTTATTTGAAAGAAGATGATGCAAGCAAGGACGATTTTTTCGAGGAGGGTGGCACCAGATGGTTTCGAACCGGGGATATCGGACAGCTCGAGTCGGACGGGAGTTTCCGTATTATTGGTGAGGAATTTAAGTAAATTTTGAATTTCAGGTATTTCTTCGTTCATAAATCAAACTGATTTTCATTTTGATTTTCAGACAGGAAAAAAGATTTGGTCAAATTACCAATGGGCGAATACCTAAGCCTTGGAAAGGTTGAGTCCATCCTAAAAACGTGTCCATACATTGACAACATTTGCATTGTTGGAGATTCCTTGAAAAACTTTTGTATCGCGTTGATCGTTCCCAATGAAAAATTGGTAAAATTTTAATATAAATAGAAATTGATTACAAAAATAGGGTGATTTTACGATTTTAAATATATACCTATCTTATTTAGATGATGGAAGTTGCCTTTCGTCTCAACAAAGACAACATTACCTGGGAGCAGATGTGTTCAGATGGGCAAATTGAAGCATTTTACCTCCAAGTAGTTCAAGATTTTTGTAAATCCGCGAAACTCTACAAATATGAAATCCCTGCCGCCATTAAAATTTGTTCCGAAATTTGGACCCCGGACAATGCCATGATCACGACAACGTTTAAGCTTAGGAGACGGGTAGTTCAGGAGAGATATCAGACAGACATTGATTATATTTACGCACGACTGACATAAATTAATTTACCTGGTTTAAATTTAACACAAACATTCTAGACAAAAAAATATAGGAACGTGTCGCCTCAGGTTTTTGCAATTTTTAAAAAATTTCTTTCGAATGCTCGGCTTACCTACAAATAATTCCAGAAACTAGTTTTTTTCTGAAAACTCATTTGAATTTGCGCTGTCTGACTTTGATGCTTAAAGGCTTTAAGGAAATGACATAATAAAATAATTTCATTGTTTTAAAAAAAATAATATATAAAGAGTGTATAGGTGAGAAGTGTACAGATCGAGTCTTACTTTGCATATATCAAACAGTTGGAGGGTCAATTCTCCTTACATGACCCAATGTCTAAACTCATCAATAACCAAGGGTGGGCAAACCAAACGCCAGGTATGGGTGAGCGTAAGCTCAAAAGCCTGTCAAATATGAACTACACTCATTTTCGAAAAGTGCAACATTTCAGCGAATCGAGGGAGAGCACAAAACTTTTAAAATGTGATAATCCGAGTCCACAACACCCCTATTAGCACCACTACATGCTTGCTACACATCTGCCATCTTTCTTCGAACCTTCTACTGATAATGGAGGTCTCCCAACGTATGCTCACGGATGTGGACCAAACTAGAGTGAATCGATCACAATTTGTGCGGTGCTGATCCAAGGAGTGCAACAATCTTTCGTTTTTGTAATTTAATCAACCCGTTCCACAGCTATATGTACTGTGCCTTGAGCGGAGATATTTGCATAAAAAGAGGAGTATGTATATGTCTTAGAGAAAATCAAAGCTTCCGACAATTGAGTTTGCTATTGGATATGAATGATCATATAACAATGATGCGATATTCACCATTCAAAATTCGAGCAAAATTGGATTTTTGGCGGGGGTTCAGTGAGTGAAAACAGGGCTTTTTTCGTGTTTTTGGCGCCTTAGAGTGGGTGTGTCGGGCGTAAATGTGGCCATGTAGTCTAACCGCTTTAGGCTTTAGGTACACTCAACCATTGATGGATCACTTGAAAAATGGTCCATGGTCCATCGAGGGACCAATTTTGTTGTTGTCCATAGTCCTTAATTTTGGTCCAGATGACCATGGTCCATTTCGAGCTATTGTCCAAATGGCATCGAAATCTGTTCTTGACAACCTGGTAAGTTCTAATTCTCAGTTTACCTTCACGGCAAAATCATATCAAATGTTGTCTTGAGGGAACTATGCATATGCATAGTTCATAGTATCATATGCATCCTCCCCTCCTATCTCTTCCTCGTCTCCATATTCATACATTGATGTCACATGACAGTCTGAAACAAAATAATCCTAGCGTAAAAGATTCCCAAGAAGAATCCCAGCGTAACCTATAACCCTAGCGTAAAAGAATCCCAGCGATTGGAACATTTGGGCGATTCGGTTATAAATTTTGTAATAACGAACTATTTATTTCGCAGGTTTCCGAAAACTAAGGAGGGCGTGTTAAGGGCGTTTGTTGAGGGCGTGGGCTGCAGCGAAGAAAGTTATCTACAAATTGTGGAAGGAAGACGGTGGAATTGATTTATAAAGCAAACCCAGGATATTGTTATAATATGGAGAAATATGTGGCCTTTATACCACCCAAATCAACCCCCACCTTAACCCAAATCCACCCAAATCCACACCTACCCCTATCCAAATCAAACCCCTATTCACCCCGACCCAAATCCAACCCCTATTCACCCCCACCCAAATCCAACCTCTATTCACCCCCATCCATATCAAACCCATATTCACCCTCTACCAAATCCAACCTCTATTCACCCCTATCCAAATCAAACCCCGTTTCACCCCCTCCCAAATCCAACCTCTATACACCCCCACCCAAATCCAACCCCTTTTCACCCCCTCCCAAATCCAACCCCTATTCACCCCCACCCAAATCCAACCTCTATTCACCCCCACCCAAATCCAACCCCGATCAACCGCCACCCAAATCAAACCCCTTTTCACCCCCTCCCAAATCCAACCTCTATACACCCCCACCCAAATCCAACCCCTATTCACCCCCACCCAAATCCAACCCATATTCACCCCCATCCAAATCAAACCCATATTCACCCCCTCCCAAATCCAACCTCTATTCACCCCTATCCAAATCAAACCCCGTTTCACCCCCTCCCAAATCCAACCTCTATACACCCCCACCCAAATCCAACCCCTATTCACCCCCTCCCAAATCCAACCTCTATTCACCCCCATCCAAATCAAACCCATATTCACCCCCTCCCAAATCCAACCTCTATTCACCCCTATCCAAATCAAACCCCGTTTCACCCCCTCCCAAATCCAACCTCTATACACCCCCACCCAAATCCAACCCCTTTTCACCCCCTCCCAAATCCAACCCCTATTCACCCCCACCCAAATCCAACCTCTATTCACCCCCACCCAAATCCAACCCCGATCAACCGCCACCCAAATCAAACCCCTTTTCACCCCCTCCCAAATCCAACCTCTATACACCCCCACCCAAATCCAACCCCTATTCACCCCCACCCAAATCCAACCCATATTCACCCCCATCCAAATCAAACCCATATTCACCCCCTCCCAAATCCAACCTCTATTCACCCCTATCCAAATCAAACCCCGTTTCACCCCCTCCCAAATCCAACCTCTATACACCCCCACCCAAATCAAACCCCTTTTCACCCCCTCCCAAATCCAACCTCTATACACCCCCACCCAAATCCAACCCCTATTCACCCCCTCCCAAATCCAACCTCTATTCACCCCCATCCAAATCAAACCCATATTCACCCCCTCCCAAATCCAACCTCTATTCACCCCTATCCAAATCAAACCCCGTTTCACCCCCTCCCAAATCCAACCTCTATACACCCCCACCCAAATCCAACCCCTTTTCACCCCCACCCAAATCCAACCTCTATTCACCCCCACCCAAATCCAACCCCGATCAACCGCCACCCAAATCAAACCCCTTTTCACCCCCTCCCAAATCCAACCTCTATACACCCCCACCCAAATCCAACCCCTATTCACCCCCACCCAAATCCAACCTCTATTCACCCCCATCCAAATCAAACCCATATTCACCCCTATCCAAATCAAACCCCTTTTCACCCCCTCCCAAATCCAACCTCTATACACCCCCACCCAAATCCAACCCCTATTCACCCCCTCCCAAATCCAACCTCTATTCACCCCCATCCAAATCAAACCCATATTCACCCCCTCCCAAATCCAACCTCTATTCACCCCTATCCAAATCAAACCCCTTTTCACCCCCTCCCAAATCCAACCTCTATACACCCCCACCCAAATCCAACCCCTATTCACCCACTCCCAAATCCAACCCCTTTTCACCCCCTCCCAAATCCAACCGCTATTCACCCCCACCCAAATCCAACCCATTTTCACCCCCTCCCAAATCCAACCGCTATTCACCCCCACCCAAATCCAACCTCTATTCACCCCCACCCAAATCCAACCCCTTTTCACCCCCTCCCAAATCCAACCTCTATTCACCCCCACCCAAATCCAACCCCGATCAAACGCCACCCAAATCAAACCCCTATTCACCCCCACCCAAATAACATCCAACCCCTAACCCCGAATTGTGTTCTTGATATAGACATAGATTTGAGAAGTTCAACTTAATATCCATGCACCTGTCATATTAATGAGTGAGGAAGTTATTATGTAAAGCTGATGTTGAGCAAAGCTGGAAGATTTCTTAGATACCAGTATGTTTAGATAATTATGGAAAATTATAAAAATAAATAAATAACATGGACTATATTTATTTATAAGGGTGCACTTCAAAGACTTTACTAAACGCATGACAAATAAAGGAAATCACATTCAGTTCACAGTCGTAAAAAATGAAATTTACCCTTCATGTAAGTACATAGTATGTACTACATTCACAAAGTTGGTGATGGGAGAACCTCTGTGGTAAAGTTTCTCCCATCAAGGGAATATTTACTTGTACAGCCAAGTCTCCCATTTAACAGTAAAATAATTATTTCTTTTATTCAGTAGAGTATAGAAGTGTGTTCGCAGAGAATGCATTATTTTACATCATTATCACTATAAAAAACAAAACGACTAGCGTACAAAATGTCCCGTTCTAAAAAAACTTAACCTAATTTCGTTTATAATAAGAAACAGTAAATGTACCTACATATGTATGAAGGCATTCTACGTAAGGGGAATTGCTCACCATTCCTGACAAAGTCAAGCCTGCTCCAACCAAGAATATTTGTGCATGTTTACAACTTGGAAATAGGAACAAATTCCGCTCTCTAAATAAATACATACATATATCTTCATGTCAATATTTTTACCGGAAAATTACATCAGTTAGATAAACTAATAATTTTTTCACAACGATGCAATAAGCAAATTGTGTAATAAATAAATCTTAAACCAGTGCACAGCTACCATTTTTTAGAAAATTTCACTAAATTGCAGTGATGGTCCCATTTGTGTGATAATTATCACACAAATGGGACCATCACTGAGTATGCTTGACATTTATATAAAAATATTTTATACATATTTACCTCCATGCATAGTAGTAGATAATTTAACATAATTTATTATCAGGTATTATGACCACCTTGAAATTGGAATCTTCCATCGGATACTATTTTGAGAATAAAAATTTCCTAAATCAAGCATTACACATGCCAGTCTTCTTGACAATCATCACAACATAAAAGATCACCCGAGACTGCAACATTTGGACAATTCAAAGATAAATTTAGTAATAACGAAATATTTACCTCGTCGATATCCTGACGCCAGTGGTGAAGAATTTTCTACCTTGAAGAAATCATTGGTCGGTAAATCGTGTAAGAAAAAGATCGCGGAAAAACTCAATTTACAAAATGTTGTCATGATGGATAAAAGCGTGAGAAGATTAACAAGACAGGATAAATTTTTGGACCCCTTGATCGGCGCAGTGTACGAGGATGCGAAACAAGAAAATTCTTGCAGTGGTTATCGTCAAGTGCAAGATGTTATCTATAAGTTGTGGGGGTTAGAGGAAAAATATAAAAATTACATCGTACCGACATTTGCGATAATCATAATTGAAATTCTTCCAGATTTACTTTCTATTATGCAATAGAATATGTCATTACTCATTAGATATATATAAATATATACAAACTTAAATTTGTATGCATATGGATACATAAATTAATTATTTTTTAAGATTTGTAAATATCTCGTCAAATCTTGTGTATACATAGTACATATTGAGTTGAGATCCCTGCATCAATAAAGTTTCAATTCTTTTGTTTATGTTGTAACGAATCACAAAAAATTGCGTCTACATAAATACATTCCTAATTTCCATTAATATTTACCTAATTTTCTATGTGAGAATTACAATATTTATAAAACTTTCAGATACATATATTTATAAGTATCTTATACTGTCATAAAAATGAATCAAGTATAGTGGTTATGTACATGGTATTACCTGGTGTATGTAAACATGTGTTTGCGAAATCATCACCGGTTGACGACAGTTTTGTCGTCACGCGGTGACAAACTTTATCAAGACGCCTCTACTTGCTACACGCTCGGCCATTTGCACAGAATTTATTGCAATGTATTTACATTCAGCATATCAATTAATTAGATCTAAATAATATCACTAACAAAATTTTCGTAAAGTCCATAATATTAGGTTTGATTATTATGAATCTTATAATTAGGTTGGATGGCACTTCAGCTACTCGTACAGAAATCTGTAAACACAGATCTGTATTTATGAATTTAAAGTAAGTCCACACTAATTCCAAGGACGCACTCTCTCTGTCTCAAATAGTACTCGGAATCACGTCTAAGTTCGCCAACTTGTTTGAGTTCTTCTTACGATTCAATCTTACCCGGGATCCCGGAAAAGGACAGATTCTGAATTTTATTGCGGTTGAAAATTTAACCAGTGCTTTGTTACATGTAATCAAAATCCAATAAATCATCTTGAAAATTAATTTTCGGTACCCCAAAAAACATTCAATACCAAATGGCATTCCCATAACTATAAGCAGTATTGAAAACCAGATAAATATTGTTGAAATGTTTCCTTTTAGCTGCAGTGGGGAAACTTTCCTATTTCCCATTGCGCTGTAATTGTTTTTCCGGCCATAATTTTGTTCCACTAATTGTCTTCCTGATTCTTCAAATTCAATCAACTTGCTAACGATCCCGGTTTCTCCTAGCCGCTTCAACCATTTCCGAAGATTTGGGTCTTGTAGCTGGTTTAACTTCCATCCTATGGGAAAAGACACGACATTTTCTACACCCATATCCCATTGATATTGTCCATACTTCTGTCCCACTTTAGACTTTATCTCGCGCAATTCATCTGACCACCCAAGATAAGCGAAGTTTCTACAAATGTGATTCTTTTTATATTTGTTTAATAGCAAATTCGACGCAAATTTGGTAACAAAATTTTGACTTCTTAAAAGCTTTAGCGTCTTATTTGAAGCTAAGTTCTCCACTGACCTAGAAGATTTTAATGTTAAACGTTCAGCGTAGCTATGCTCGGTCAAATAGAAACTTGTTGATATTTTACTATAAATCATCATGTTTGAAAAAAACGTGAAATTATATTTGAACAAAGTTTCAAAATGTTTAAATCGTATTGGTTCCATAGGAGAAATAATAGTCGTCATGTTATCCCCTTTGAAGGCTCCCGATATTACAACGCAAGAAAGAATTAGCGGGAGAAGTATCATGTAAAGGTGAAAATCTTTTTGAATATTTTGTGCAGTTGAATTTCCATGTTCTAACAACATTTCGAACGGGAAACAAAACGCCGTTACTTTAGAAACTTTTTGCCTTTTTGGTGAAACTACACAGGCCAAAAATATACTAGAAAGAACCCAAGTTATTGCCAAACCAATCCACGTAGTTAGGTCGAAAGCGTGCATGAGGACCTCCAAAGACGACAATTTCTTTTGTCTATTTGAGCAACTGAGGAATGTAAACGCTTTTATTCCTTTGAACAAAATGACGTCCAATTCGGATATTGCATTTATAACAGGAAAAATCATATCCCATCTGTGACATTTACCATAATTACAATTTGGATAATCAAAGAATAAATCCCCTTCCTCATATTTTGTGACCAGATTAATTGAAGAGTTATCAAGAAAGGTACGTTGTAGCAGAGTTAGAAGAAAATGGTCACTTTTATATTTTAGCTTGTGAATTTCTGACAACCGTGTTGTTTTTTGGGCAGGAATGAAAACTTCCTCATTAAAATGATCAGTTTTTGTTATGATTACATGTAAACCAACCGCCGTCCAATTTTTGTCAAAAGATTCAAAAGCCTTTTCCAAATGTCGTAAGAAAAGAGTGGAATCGTGTTTATGGAATGTTCTGTTGTATTTATCACAATATTTGCAACAAAGGAGCATGTTGTTAATTATTGTACCTTCGATAGAAAATACAAGCTTTTTTCTAACAAATGTTACGGAATACAACGTAGCTGGTTCTAGAATAATGATCTGTGCCAATTGGTTTTCCTTTAATACATCATTCAATTCTGACGTGCCATCTACAAAAGGCGAGTGTTTGGGTATAAAAACGTGGTATTGAGGTCTTGGAAATGTTTCTTCAACTAGATATTTTGAAAAATATTTTTCATTTTTTTCATTTTTTTGCGTAAAAAACTCTTCCATTTCTGAAGGTTTTGGGGTCCTTGTGTCCTCCTTATATATATAAAACCTTGTTAGACACTGCCAATTTTTTTGTTGACTAAATATCACTTTTAATGCTTTATTATTGTATTTTGGATCCGTTTGGTTGACGCATGGTGGAATATTAATTTTATCTATGGGGTCTAAACGTACCCACCTGCACCAGGTTTGTTCTTTAGAGTCAAAATCAATGGTAATCCTGCAATATCTTATGCAGATGAAGCGTGTAAGAATAATTGGAACCGAAGTAGGTGGAAGGTCAATATTTTCGTAATTTAGTATGCTTACCACACACCCTAAGAATAATTCAATGTACTTTCCCAAATTTGAAATTTCCATCGTCAAACGTTTAAATAAAAGTGTAAAGCTTAAGTCTTAAAGTCCAGGCTTAAAGTTTGACTTCAAAGAAAGAGTTTACTGCAATACATTGAGACAAGTGTTTGGGAAAAAGCTGTAATATGAATTATTAAATAGAGCTTCCTAAGTTGACTTGACACGAAGGCAAAATCAATACTTTTAGCTTTTCCTATGCAATGTCAGAAAACTTTAAACCGGGCCTTCGTATATAAATAAATAAGTAAATACTTTGTTTTTAAGTTTTTACAATTAGAATTTATGGCAAGCCCATAATCAATAATATGTAAACCAGTGGAAAATGTTCCGTTCCAAATCGTTGGTTCCAACTTTATGGTGTAAAATTCAATACTTTGATTGCAAAATTGCGAATTTCTTTTATTCTGAATTTGATATGTATGTTTACTCACAGGAGTTGTAATAGAATCCCACAGTGTCGTCATATGCAAATGTACAAGATCATGATGCGTAACTGTTACGCGGAGCGGTGTGAATGCTGCACAGGGTATAGTATGGGCTATTCAAAATTATTAGCAGAGAATGTGTTTGAAACTTATGCTAAATATCAGTATTTATTTCAGCATTTTAGCTTTTTGATCTGACTTGGCCTGACCTGGAAGATCAATGTAAAGGCCAATAACAAAATTGGGTGCAGCTACTGTCAGTTTTCCGTTTTACAAGGGGAGTTATTATGCGATACACATTATATGTAACATATCAGACTTCAAATTAATCCGAGGATAAACGATGAATTAGCGATCTATGCTGCAAATTGCACTTTATATTTATTATTTTTATGTAATCAACTAATTTTTTTAACTATGTAAATCTTACATCAAGCACAATAATTCTTAATTTATTTTAAATTTACAGAATACATTTATACCTTGACTACATTTAAGGCAAACTTTAATGCGATTATTAAACGGGACTAGTTGGTCAAGAGTAATAACGAAACCGTGTTATGAATACAAAATTCCTGGACCACCAACGGAGTCAAGGCTTCCACGAAATTGTTACCAAACTCTACTCTTATGGATGTCGTGGCCCTCAGCCTCTTCCGATCTTCCTTCCTCACGCATATCTCTTTCTGTCGATTCATCCACCCAATACTAATTCTATTCAGGTGCGCAGCTACAGAGAAATAGGACATTGTCATTGTTAGGATTGCCACGTAAATTATAAGCAATCCTATAATTATCACTGGGTTGGGGAAATGTCCAATTTTAATTATAGAAAACCCCACCAACACTTGAAGCAAAGGACCGACTAAAGCTAACGTTAAAAATATACGATCTTTGACGCATGAGTTGACAATTTTCTCAAACACTTTTAAATTACTGTATCGTGTAAACTCGTCATCACGATAGCGATAGTCATTATTTCGGATAAAAATAGTAGAATTAATTAGAAGTTTTTTGCAGTCCAGCCACAATGCCGCCATACTCGTGCCCGCTGTTGAGATTGCATAATGGATACCTGAAAGGCATAATGTTCGATACAGGATGAATTCAAAGATTGCCAATCCGGCCTGCGTCCATCGCCATAGTTGCGAATTGTTTCCGTCGAGATGACACAAAAGGGAAGAAAATAAGGATGGAAAGCATGGCCAAATAATAGACAATACCCCCACGAAAATTGGAACCAATAAGCCTCCAGCATAAAAGAAATACACAAGAATTGCTAAGCATTTAGAAATCAGGCCATCTTTTTCTGCAAGTGATGTATAAATGCATGCAATTTTAAATTTTCCAAACCAAATATATTTCTTCGTCTATATTAACTACCTTTCCTGGCGGCAATATAGTTTAGCAGTTGACTTGGAGTTGGATCTCGACTGATATCACAAAGCATAAAGAATCCAAACAAATTGGCGCCTGTCAACGTCAGTCCTGCAACCATGTGGATTAAATCCGTAGACTTCGTCAGTGTTGATATCACCTGACATACCAGGTGGACGGCGTGCAAACCAATCCAAAGATATGGTTTGATTTGCTTCCGTTTTTCGATAGGTATGAAAATTTCACTATCATGATCAAACGCTTGAAAAAGACAGTTATAGAAGTCGGCAATTTTGATGGATCGTTCAATCCCTTTGAATGCTTGGGGAAACATTGTTTTACGAATTATATGTATGGCTAACTAATTTGATTAGTTAGCCAGTGTGTAGTGACCAAACACAACGGTTGAGGTACATGGATTCAAATTGGAATAGTATGTCCTTTAGTCGGACAGTTTCCAAGTTAATTATGTCACAAATGTATATTTTAATAGACGTAACACCTATCGTTCTCTATTCCGAACAATGCATGATTTCAGGCTGCAGGCTTCAAGTAATTACATCAAATAGATTTGAGTCAGCCAACTGAGCGTGAAATTGGAAAACAGTTGGGATATGTCGGGCTTAGTATAGGTAAATAATTCTAACTAAATATGTAATCCGTAAATGTTTATGTATTCTACGTGCATATACGTATGTAACTATGGAATTTGACTAAAATATTTGAAATGCAAATATTTGCGTGTAATACTTAATTTCAAACATCCCCACTCTTGTTGACAAACATATCTTGAGCATACCTTTGATTAACTCACTATGGAGAGACAAATAACGAACAGGAAGCTAGTATTGATCATCAATGCTAGTTTCCTGTTTATCACTTTAGTGTTTTTAAAGCATACATGGGTCATCCCATTACGTGTGGTTGACCTAATACCGTAATGACACAAGTGTCAGACGACAAACCATGTTTCGATAAGTGCATGTCCTGCAATACAATTCTTATATAGTTAAGGTCAACATTTTGAATTATTTAGTTTTAGCTGTATTTAATATAAAATTATTGCTTAACTCTTCAATTCAGGGTTGCCCATGTTTCTGTTTGATTTCAGAACTATCACAAATCATAAACTGTATAATTTAAACAAAGTCGTATGTGTTTTAAACTCTGATAGATAACTTATACGCAAACATGTGTTGACACTTGGGCGTACACATAAGTGAGTAAGTTTAAGTCAGGTTTACTAGGACTGAAGCAAAATAACTCATAAAATAACTCAAGGCTTGCTAAATTAAATATACTTCGGAAAGCATAATAGCGATACTATTTACTAGAGACATTACCAGCGGCGTCAGTGTCACTGCCGTTCCAACAATTCACCCAATCTCCCCCAGTTGGCTCGGTCGGTTAAAACCTTAGTAAAACCATGTACCGTATATATTTATAAAATCTAAGTCACAATTGATAAGAGCAATACAACAAATCCTTGTTGCTTTGTTATGAACCCTGATTGCCTGATTTGTTTTTTCACCGTATCTGCAGTCGACTATTATCAAAAGTTAAACTGGGTTAAATGTTGAGCAATAAAGGTAACTTACATATGTACCATAAGTTGTCTACGTTGACCTCAATTGTGTGGGCTAATATGCAATTAGTGACACCCATTCGATACCTTGATCAACTCCCTCAAAATATTTCAAACAACATAAACAATCATGTCATATTCATAACAATCCTCCTAACAACCGGATGCGCAGGACTTTATACAAGAGCTTGTCCTTTAGAACCGCCCTGATTGTACAGACCCCGGTGTTATTTTTCATACCAAAGAAGCAAACTTATCAAACTGTTTTTTCTTCCAGTTCTGAAATCATTCAAGGTTCATGGTCGGTATGGTTATGCTATTACTGTATTTAAATAAGTATAAACTATATAATTTTTTATACAAGGGGACTTTATGTATGGTGTGTGTACTTAATTTATACCCAAAATCTTGATGAGACGTACTTATAACAGAAGTAACGATTTTTTAATGTTAGGTGGCGATTTTACCGACTGATTGAATTTTTTTCCACACTGCTCGACACCAGTCCATGCCAACATGTTTCAGTATTAGCATTCCACTGCCGGCAAAATCTAGTGAAAATCTCTTAGATTCAAAGGACCGCTAGAAACTAATACTCCAACCCTTACCGTTTAGCGTGATATAAATGCTGAAAAGAATGAATTAATCGTCACCAGTGATTTCGGGTTTTGGGCAAACCACGCAGTGGCGTCTGGCTATTCAAACTGGACTTTGTTCTATAGAAAAGGTTTTACAGGAAATTCAACAAGCCCTTCAGCAGTAGGGGGACTTGTAAGTGTGGCGAAAAGTTTCGCATCCGCTGTTATCAGATGTATTCCAAATTACATGTCGGATATGATACCATTTTTGCATGAATAGCGCAGCCTCTTTATTACAATACTTCTAATACTTTACGTATCCAAGTAACCTCAAGAGTCATTGTATAACACAAAATAGTGAGACAACCTTCACCCTTCATAATGCGACATCCTGACATGAATCCTGCACATACATACATAAATGTACGTATTTATATGTCGATCAGGAGCCGAATTGAAGTGGGGGACCAGCGTTTATCTTTAAAAGATAAAGTAGCTATTATGTATTACGCCTAGCTATTGAAATACAATGTTAAGTATTGTACATATGTATGTATGCTTGGGGTGAACGCATATACATAATAGACAAATATATGCAGTTCTATTGTTGATGTATTATTATAAGAGACTTTTTAACTTTTACAAGTATGCGTTTTTCACTAATACGAAAAAAATATATTGTATTGTTGTCATTGTTACGGACACATGTGAAATTATGCTGAAGGATTTAATGCATTAAAATTAAACATACTTCGGACGTCATACATACACATCTATTTGTGCAGATTTTTAGTTAAGTACATAAGTAATGGACTCTTCTAAATTTGAAGCGGTTTATGTATGTATGTATTTATGATTGTATATGTATGACAACTCTAATGCATGCATTGTCACTGAGTTTAATGGATGTTTTTTACTACTATTCATACATTCGTTGATATCTCTCTGCATGTTAGTAAATATGCCCACCAGGATGGGAGAGACGATTAGAATGTACCTATGCAGAACACACATCTCATCTCACATAAAACATCTGGGATTTCAATTATTTTTGTAAGTTCTTGTTCTGTGAAATCTTTGATATAAAATTTACTAAATATTATGACTTGCATAGTGAACTAATTCTGGAAACGGTTACTGCTATCACCACTCGCCATCATGTTGACGGGATTTGAAGTATACATAAGTATTGTTTCGTACCGAATAACTATTTAATAATTAATTAAAATGTTTACTTACATAGAGATTTTTTGCAGGCTGGAGATTCTAAATATCATTCTGATTATCAAAACGATACAACTACCAACATCCAAGTTGGGCCGATTCTTATTCCAGATGTATGTGAATTTAATGTGTTCTGATTGTTTGAAATACTCAAATATATTTCCGTACATGTTTTAGAATAATTCTTGCATTCGCATTTCACGTTAAAAATTATATATTTTTGAACTATATTGACCTCGTAATTTCTCATTTCTGAATGTTAATTCACATTTTCCAGGTAATGCCTCACATCTTTAAGTTCCTTGGAGTCCAAGACATAAAAAAATGTCGGCTAGTCTGCAAATCATGGCATTACTTTGCTACCCCTGTACTTAAAGCGAATTCAATGACCCTGATTCCATGTTACCCTGTGGGGGATGACAACAACGATATTTTAGAAAGACTGGTACACTTCTGTCCAGTCAATATCCATCTGGAGATTGAATGCCCTATAAAATGCTCAAAGTCACCCCGGAATCCAAAAATGTTTCCGAATGTGACAAATTTGAAATCCATTTTTATCTCGTATCCAACAAAGAAACTACAGTGGCAGACGACCGTCTGCAAGAAACTTATTGCCAATTCGGCCAGTACTTTGGAAAGGTTAAGTTTTCAATGGAGCGGAAACCAGTTAGATTTTGCTCCCGTGCATCGCACAGTCTTCCCAAAATTAAGGGAACTTGAGATATTCAAACGATCGCTTCCGAGATACGAAGATCTCGAAAGAATTGGTCAAGTTGTTATAGAATCGTTCCCAGCTTTAGAAAGTCTGAAAATTGATTCTGGAATTTTGTATAAAATTTCAAAGTTGGGAGTCCTACCAAAGCTACCACTGTAAGTGGGTATCTACAAATAAATAGTGGAATCTCCAAACTATCGGATTTATACGAATTGATTTCTAATTAATTTACAGATCTCTCAAGTCCTTAGAAATGAAAGGATATTCAAGCTACAAACAGATGTATTACCTTCTTAACATTCGTTGTTCTTTGAAGACACTGGTCTTAGATAGGGTTAAATTTGATGATATTGGCCATCGTGTTGACGAACTACCAACAATTCTATACAGCGTCCTAAAAACGTTTTCACCCACTTTGGAAAAACTTTCTATAGATCTGCGTTGGTGGATAGGGGGTAAACAATTAGAATGGAAATTCCCAGTGTTTCCGGTTATGAAAAGGTTGAGGGTCGTAAATAATGGTGTGCTCGAAAAAATTGCATTTGAAAATCCCTGTTCAGACGTTTTTGGAAGGATTGATTATAAAGTGTGTTTTCCTGTCTTGGAAAGTTTACATGTTTGCATTGAAGCAATTAATTTGTCACCGTTGGATGCATTTCTTCCGATGGAAAATAACGGATGTTCCATGGTTGTGGATTGGGTGAAAGAAATTGACATAAGGCGGATCAGGCTTTTCGGTTCGGGCTGTTCCACGATAGATATGACAACCCTTGAGGCGAGAGTGTTGAACATTTTTCCCAATGCGAGACGAACGGTAAGTTAAATTTAGAAATATATACGTTTATTGTGATATTTTGCTGTGTGTAGATTTTTTTTACATGTTTGTTTCTCCTGTTTATAGATAAATATTTCGTAATTGTTACTGATTAATCATGGCGAAAACCTTGATCATGTCTTAATGTTAATGGACGACTTGGAGATTATTGGATAATTAAGAATAATAATTATTATTCTGCACATCTTTAAAATCCTTGTGTATCCATTGAAACGTAAAGTGGCTGGAATAGAGTTCTTGTAATATGTTGTTATATAGGAGTCAGAATTTAGTAAATGTTTTAGGAAAAAAATTCGTGATGCGAGTCCAGGGGGACACGGGGACACTGCACCAGTTTTCAGATGTCCCCCTAATCTGCCCATGTTTTATTAACCCAACCTTCTCCTATCTCACGATGTTAAAGTCCCCCCATGACCCCTCCCCCACCTCCGCCGCTTCTGTAATTAGTATAATCTTTTTAATTTTCATCCGTAAATTGTACGTCCCCATACTATGCGATATAAAGTTATGTATGCATTTAGTGTAAACCATGCAGTACTGTTGTTAACGGTAATGAACATAAGTGTTAAATTTAGTACTACAACCAATAAATAACGGCGTAATATTTTTAAAATTCGATGATAAATGACTATGGAAAATTTCCATAGTCATGATTTCCATTGGAAATCATAAGAAATCATGGGATTGTGAGGAACGCGAGGAACTTTCTCTTTTGGTAAAGGAGACAAAGCAAAGGGCCCTTTTGGGATCCGACATTTCACCATTTGCATCTGTTTATTTCGCTTGTCCTTCAATAGAGGCGAGAAAAGTTTGTGAACATATAAATTTCCCAGTAAACCGAAAGTTTTTACTTTTTTGATTTACAAAGCCTTAGTTATCGCCGTAAAGAAAGTGATCATGTACAGCGAGAAGGAACAAGTAAGTTGTTGATTCCAATTCCATTGACTCGTGTAGATATATTTATGTATGTAGGTAATAATATTATATAATAAATTTCCGAAGGAAGAAGACTCCACAATTAATCATACCGATAAATTATTTTTATAAAAAACACTCTGAGGTGAGGCAGTATTATTAGCGATAAAAAAGTAAAACAAGAATTTCTTAATTTTTTAATTTGACAGACATCATGCGTACACGGGATAATTAAATACATATAAAATCGTAGTATTTCAATTCTTGAAAGGTTGCCTCACCGTGGCCCCACAATCGTTTTCAAAATTATTAGAGAAATTACATATTCGATATTACATGAAGAGCTTAAATTTATATCTATCCTGAGAATGTCACTGAAATAATTTTAAATCGGTTTCAACTGAACAACATCAAACTGCAATTTTCGTACTAAAAAGCAATAAGTCCGGGTAAGTCACTGGTCATTATCCTCAGAACATGTATGTGATTACCACATTATGATACCACTGATAACTTGCAACTTCTGAGTTTAATTGCGATGGTATTACAATTTGAAAAGTAGAACGGGAATTTTACTTTATGCTGGTATTGATGTTATACATCAGATCATAATATACAAAAATTGGCCTAAATTCGCTACAACTCCACAAAACCTATACATGTATTTAAATATTGAAAGCGATTGTGGGGCCACGGTGAGGCAACCTTTCAAGAATTGAAATACTACGATTTTATATGTATTTAATTATCCCGTGTACGCATGATGTCTGTCAAATTAAAAAATTAAGAAATTCTTGTTTTACTTTTTTATCGCTAATAATACTGCCTCACCTCAGAGTGTTTTTTATAAAAATAATTTATTTTATAGTTTGTATATGTAAATACATGTATACTAGTGTTAAAGGTCACTAAAGAATTCTAATCAGTATAAAGTGATTTATGACCTTTGACATGGCCTACAGGGTCATATGAAGGTCAAAGGTCAAAAATATCGACGACATCGAATTTTGGGTGTAATTTCCTTCCAGAAAGATGTCCTGTATTATAAAATAAATGGAGCAAAAAGTGCAAAAACATTTTGAACTCGTAAAGAATCGAACCCGTGAACACTATCGTCACAACCCGGCGCTCTAACCACTATACCCCCACCTCCTTGCATAGTAAATATTGTAAAGAACTCGTATTTATTTTTCATTCGATAGAAATAAAAAGTTTTAAATTGTCTCTCAGTCATTCATTTGACCTCTAATCAAAAAAATTGCAATTTAAAACAGATTCACCTTAACCTGGAGAAATTTTAAAACTCCTATGTTATTTGTTCAAGTTTAATTTTACCCCCTTCAAACCGCGATTTTTAACGGTAAAACTCAAAAATTATTTTTTTTGAATTTTTATGACACTGGAGAATTGAATTCTGTAATCAGATTTTTTTTGTCATTTTGCTTAACGACGCGTAGTTTAGCCGTGAGAATTGTGAGACCTTTTGCGTGGTCACCCTAAAAGCATACTGTTGGCTTCGCCGGGCCCCACCTGAGCATATGCATGCTTTGGTTCTGTGAGGGGCCCCGCTTTATGGGGCCCCCCGCCTCACCTCAGAATAAAACCAGCATCTCCAACTCCGGACCTGTTCTTATTACAGATGTAAACTATTAAATATACGTTTAACTTATTGTATTAAATCCTGGTCAACTATTAAATCGTTTCGCTTTGGATTAATTTAATGCTATCTTCTTAACCCCCAGGTTATTAGTCCTCTCTGTAAATTTCTTCACATCACGGACATCAAGGAGTGTCGGCTAGTCTGCCAATCTTGGAATTATGGAGCTACCCCTGTCCTTAAGTCTAGAACGAGGACAAGCTTTGAATTATGTCCCGAACCAGATATTTTAGATCTCGTAGAAAAATCAAACTTCTCTCCTGTCAACGTTTATCTCAAGAAAGAACCCGGACTTAGTCCGGGTTCTTTCTAGATCCAGAGTAAATAGTCCGGCGGACTATTTACTCTGGATCTAGAAATGCTGCCTCACATCGGGAATCTTAAATCAATTCATCTCGATTACTCTGTTCGTTATGGACAATATGATAGTTCGCTGGAATTCTGTAAGAAAATTATCCTGGCGTAGTCCCACAATCTGGAAGAGTTAGAGTTGAAGTGGGGTTATGGCTTCCCTCCTTTACAAGGTACCATCTTCCCAAAATTTAAAAAACTCGTGACACGTCGTATCTGGGATAGTGTCTTTTACCACGTGCCCATCACTGATCTTGGTCAGGCAATTGCGGAGTCGTTCCCAAATTTGGAATCTTTTGAGGCAGAATGCAAAACTTTGTGCAACTTGTGAAAGTTACAAATGATAGAAAAATTTCCCAGGTACGATTCTTTATAAATATTTGTGTACGTACAGGCCATTTCATAAGTATGTAACAGGTCAGACTGATTTTTTTAAATAATTAAATTGCTGAAAATATCTAGATTATAATTTCGAAAAGCCCGTCCCGTTGAAATTTTCTGTGAGATTCTACATAATTCTGATTGGCTATGGGAATTACGATTTAGGAAATTATGAAAACTGGTACTTAGTAAACTATTTATTTAGTTTTTTACCAGTTTATTTTGAACGCATGAAACTGTGTGCATTTCTAAACCCTGTCAATTTCCTATTAAAATTACCGTCGACCTGTTAATTATGAGATGCTGTGTATTTTTAAATTAATAAATTAAAAATTATTTAACCTTATTTTCCTGATTTCTCTTAGATCACTGAATTCTTTAACCATTGTGGAATCTTATGAGTTCCTGGTCGATGGATTACGGTGTTTACTGGACATTCCTCATAATTTGAAGAGACTTACCTTAAAGTCGTTGTTCATACGGGATAACATTGATCTGGTAGATCTGTCGTCAATTTTTTACAACATTTTAAAGAAACATTCGCCCGCGCTGGAAGAACTTTACACGACATACGACGCAGGAGTTTCGAAAGTGGATTGGAAATTTCCAGTTCTTCCAAAAATTAAAATATTGCATATATTTGCAGATATGTTTAAGAAAGTTAAATTCGAAAGTAGTCTCGGCTCAGGGTGTTTCGAAGGGATTGATTACCAGAAGTGTTTTCCTGTCTTGGAAAACTTGCATATTGACACGAGAACATATGATTTTTCTGGTATAACTGCATTTCTTCCGTTGGATGCTGACCAATATCAGGTATTGGAATCGCTGAAAGAAGTTGAAGTAAATTTTTTGCCATATGATTATTCTAACAATGGTTTGACAGAGTATCCGAAATCAGTTCAGGTTCGCATATACAGGCAATTGTTCGCTATCTTTCCAAACGCGAGAGATTCGATTAATAAGCAGTTAATGACAATTAATATGTCATAATTTGTTTTGTGTGTCGTTATGAAAGTTGCACATGTTTATCTAGCGAAGGTTACAAGTCTAGTTAATTTAATGTACTTGACAACTTGTTATGTAAGTATGCATGTATGTATAAATTATTGCTAAGCAGCATTGATTGATGTGTTGAATTCAGGTGTACTACATATATTACATGACAAATATTCAATATCAAAATTAGCATTTAAGTATGTATATTATGCTTTTGATCGATAAGATATAAATAATACCTACCTTTTAAGTTATCAACAAGTAAATGTTTTTATAAAACATAAACAAAATCGGATCACTCTTACTCGTCTTTTAATTTTTTATCGTAGCTATGATACAAATTATTACTTGCAACCCTATACTTAAATATGTACATATTTTCGTTAGCAAGAACTTGTCGTAGCTTAGCAACTATCAGTAATGTGTAAGTATGTGAAGTGAAGTGCATAAGACCATAGCTTTTAACGATCCAAAGTTCATATTTTATGACTTGAATTTTGATAGACTTTTAATACAAAATGTCCAAATTCAAATTTTTCATACATTTTCAATACATTAGATATTTTAGGATAAGAAAGTCAAGTACAATATTATAAAAGATGCGGTATCGTCACAGAAAAGCAGTGTCACTGTCATACTTATAAGATAAATAGTATCCTGAACATAAGTCGTACTAATTTAAGTAACGTTCTGAACCCTTCGTGCTAAAAATTTGTGTTATACAAACTTTCTACCACTATTAAATGTATAAAGTTAAAGCATGCATGATTGATGCTCTGTGTGCAATTGCATTTAAGTTGTATATGTCTCGTACAATTGCATAATGCAATTTGCATTGGCCGCGAATGAAGCTATAGAATTCTGCAAGTCATCGCTTTGTACCAGGATAAAATCTCTACCAAACCTCTCAAAAATTCGTGGTGGCAAGTACACTCAAAATAATTCTTTATAAGCGGCGGTGACCATATGTGACTCTGCCACCATGGTAATAAATTTGTTACCACAGGTTGTAAAGGTATTGCCAAGTTGGTAATATTTGTCACTCGCCAGCTGGCAACTATTGCCAGCCTGGTAATAAATGTACGACTGCTAAGCAACATATTTGTTACCATGGCGGTAGCGTCATATATATATATATAGTCACCGCCTGATAAAAGCCTGTTACCAGTTTATTTTGAGTGTACTTAGAGAGGAATTTTTTCAAATGCTTACTAGTAAAAGGATAATTTTTTATTCATCATGTTAGCAAAAAAACCTTTAAGACGAACCTTGTGATTTTTTTGTGGATCAGTACTGTATTTACTAGGATTTCTCATGGGGGGTCTAATTATAAGTTAATGGGAAAAGAGCTTGTTTGCTCCATATACAAGTAAAATTTATTTACCTGCCGAAGGACAGCGTGTATCTTCAATAAAATTTTAAGTAACTACTAATCAATTTGTTCTTCTTCTTCCCCCGGTGTCCTCAGAGAGAGGAGTATTGTATCTTTTATGTTGTCTGCTTTATTTCATCTGAACTTGGTAGCCAACCAAGTTGAGACATATTTGTTGGTTTGGTTTTGGGTTGGTTTTGCATACACAGATTATTATGGTGGAAGACCTGGTGGTCCCTGACAGTACAAAGTTAAGATCGAGTGTGGGAACATAAATATACTTAGATATGTGTAATATCATACTAAATTTTTGTATTACCCTTACAGTATTCCGAATCCTATGCATTTAATAGATAAGGCGCTTCAAAATTATTTAATTGATCACGATGTCTTTTCTTCATATACAACTTCTCCATGAATTGTTTCCTTTTCAGGGCAGCCTTATTTTCCTTATAGCTGTGTAATAAAGTGTTGGGTTGATCCCTTGGATATATAATTTGGGAAAATCGATCTGTAATCAAAGATGATGTTTTATTTACAATTGATTAATTAAAATTGAAGTCTTTTTAAATAATTTGACCTATGTACCTCTTTCTTTACTTGTCAAAGGAGTTGAACTTGGATCATGGTCATTTCTGGTGGCAACGCCTCCAGGTTGAACTTTAGCCACACTTTCAGGTGGTGGAAGTAACTTGTATACCTTCAACGTTTCCTTGTGTTCATTTCCATAACATTCTCTCCGATAACTATGAACTTCCTTCAAAATTTTAAGACCTTCTTCAGTTGCCTCATCTGTTCCAATCCGTACTAAGCAACGGCCTAAATTGAATTGTGCAGTCCTTCTCAGATCGATATTTTTGATTTTAACCGCGATTCGAAATTGATCAATTGCCTTCTCAAACAAATCCCGTTTATAAAAGTAGTATCCTAGTGTTCGAACGGATTCTAGATATTCTGATTCAGGCTGTAATCTTTGCTGAATCAATTCCTCCAATGTTTCTTCTGCTTCCTTAAACCGACCCAATTCAATGTAAGCGCTTGCTATATTCCTTCTAGTTATAAAAACTTTGGGGTGTCCCTTAAATGAATCGCCATATAGTTGGCGCTGTTGATCCAAAACCTTTTGAAAACATTTCAGGGCGGCTTTATGCTCTTTCTTGTAATAGTGAATTCCCCCAATAGAATTTAGAATCCCTACTGAATATGCCGCATGTTCCCCAAATGCTTCACAGGAGCCTTGATACATTTCTTTATAGATTGTCATGGCGGTGTCCGTATCCCGAAATCTGGTAAGTGCTGAGGCATATTGTTTCGATAGATCCATCCCGATTTTAAGAGTCTTGTGTCCCGAAAAGCTACACCATTTGTGTACAGCTTCTGTAAAGCATAATTTTTCTCGGAACAGAGTTAACCCTTCTAAGCGTTTTACTATGCTCAATCCCACTGCCAAGATATGTTCTGGTTCTTTATCG